AATAAGCCTGGAGATCCAGAGATCCACTAGATGGAAACCAAATACCCACATCACGAGTACCTGCAAATAACGTAAAATATGATCTACATCAGCAAGATGATCAGTACGAGGCGAAGCCATGAACTGACTGACAATCTGGACGACATATGAAATATCCGGACGAGTAGAAGATAAGTATATAAGGCTGCCTACAATGCTACGATAATTTGTGCCATCGGAGAGCTCATCACCTGAATCACGACTGAGCTTCACATTCAATTCCTTGGGAGTAGAGACCGGACGACAGTCGCCAAACCGATGATCCTCAAGTAAGTCAGAGATATATTTACGCTACCTAAGGGGTAGACCCCTTGAGTCACGCGTAACTTCCAGGCCAAGAAAATAGGATAGATCGCCAAGGTCCTTGATGTGAAAAGTAGAATGAAGACCCTCCTTAAGCCGTGCAATTCCCTCATGATCAGACCTAGTAATGACCATGTCATCAACATAAAGTAGGAGTGCAACAATCCCAGCCGAAGAAGAACGAGTAAACCGTGAAGGATCATTCTGACTCTGACAGAAACCCAGCTGATAAATGGTAGTATGAAACTTCTCAAACCAGGCACGAGGTGCCTGTTTGAGTCCATATAATGAACAGTTAAGACGGCAGACCTGATTAGAAGTCCCAAGAGTGTAACCTGGTGGACGTTCCATATAGATAACTTCCTCTAAATCACTGTGAAGAAAGGCATTCTTCACATCTAATTGATGAAGCGACCAATTTTTGTGAGAGGCAACAGCAAGCAATGTACGGATTGTGGACATCTTGGCGACGGGAGCAAAAGTCTCCCCATAATCCACACCATATTCTTGGGTAAAACCTAGTGCAACGAGTCGGGCTTTGTAGCGATCTACTGTGCCATCAACAACAGAAGTAGAAGGTGGTGGTCGAGGAACCAAAGTCCAGGTATTCTGGGCGTGCAATGCCTCCAATTCACGCTTCATTGCCGCATCCCATAGGGGATGACCTTGAGCTTGTCGATAGTGGGTGGGAACTACAAAGGTACCAACTCCGTAAGCTAAATAATCATTGAATTTTGGTGGAAGGATACCTTTGTTTGCCCGAATAGACTGACGAGGTGGAGGAGGAGCAATTGGTGAATATGCGACAGCCGGTGATGAAGAGTTGACGGTGGATGACGAGCTAGAAGTGTCGGGAGACATGGATGAGCTGGCTGATGATGGAGCGGTCGAGGAGGGAACAACGGGGGAGGACAGACCTGGCGAGGGAGGATCTGGGGATTCAGATGGAAGAAGGTCTTCGTGGCCATCATCAAAAAAAGGAAGTGAGACACTAGTAGGAAAGAACCGAGAGGAGGACGGCCCAGGAGAGTGAAACATGACGTTCTCAAAGAAGATAACTGTACTAGCAATGCGCATACGTTGAGAAGATGGATCATAACACAGATAACCCTTATGGACGTCACTATAGACAAGAAAAGCACATCGAGCAGTTTTAGACGAGAGTTTAGTTCGTTCCCGTTTAGGACGCAACACAAAACACAGGCAGCCAAAAACTCAAAGACTGGAATAACTAGGATGACGACCATACAGGGCATAGAAGGGACTAATATTTTTCAGAACTGGAGTAACTTGATTGTTAATTAGTCGAACAGCAGTAGCAACTGCTTCCGGCCAAAAACGATCAGGAACATGGGAAGACAGTAGAAGAGCTCGAGTAAGGTCCATAACATGACGATTTTTCCGCTCGACTAAACCATTTTACTGAGAAACACGAGGACATGACTGTTGAGTCAAAATCCCAAGAGATCGATACACATCATATAATGGAAAGGAACTGAATTGTCCTCATGGATCTGGCCGAATAATCTTAACAGTACGACCAAATTGAGTCTGAATCATTTTCAAAAAATCAGTGGTCACAGATTTAAGCTCAGATTTAAGACGAAGGAAATAAACCCAAGTATAACGGGTGGCATGATCAATGAAAAGAGCGAAATATCAATAACCACGACGAGAAACCTTAGGTGAAGGACCCCACAGATAAGTATGTATGATATGAAAAGGATCATTAATGATGGTAGTGCTCGATGGATAAGAAGAACTAACAGTTTTCGCTTCTACACAGCTTGTACATGAATGTTTAGGCAAATAATCAACAACAATTTTCCCTAATAAAGATTGCTGAAACATGAGTTCAAGACTACTAGAATGCGGATGACTCAATCGGGAATGCCAAAGATCCCAACTATCATTATTTGACAAACTAGAAAAACCAAATGACTGCGAACCAACTGCAGTTGACAAAGTTTTAGATGGACTACTGACGGACCTATCGAGATGACTACTGACAGACAACGAATTGTGACCACGAAGTTCTTCCAGTTGAAAATTCCTTCCCCGTTTACTCCCCTTTCCGATCTTCCTCCCCGTCTTCAAATCCTGTATAACACATCCAGTCGGAGCAAACAGGACAGAACAACCTTGCTCAGTAAGCTGTCCCACAAAAATTAAGTTGGAAACTAAATCGGGTACATGAAGAGTGTTAGGTAACGTCAATTTATCTCCAGAAACAATGCCCATACCATGTACCTTAAGCTTCCCACCATTAGCAACACTCAAAGACATGTTATTAACATGTATTATATCCGATAACTGAGCATGATCACTTGTCATATGATTAAAACAAGCTGAGTCAAGCAACCAAGGAGTTGTATTACCTGAACCCTGAAGGGTAGCAAATGCTGCACTTATAGTAGTGGGTAGCGACTTTTGAATTGCGGCATTGACGAGCTGCTCCACTGTCGCTGTTGTTAGAGAACTCCTACTGCTGCTACCGGCTTCCAGCAGTGTGGCCCAGTGTGTAGGGCGCTCTCCATGCCGGTCTCCTTGCTGCCGCTCCCCACGCAAGCCCAATCCACGCGGAGCCTCATTAAAGCCAGGTCCACGTGCAGCTGCCGCGCGGTAATGAGAAGAGGTAGGCGCTGAATTGACTCCCCCAGCAGCGGAATTGAAGCCCCTAGCAGCCGCGCGAGCCTCATTACGCTGTCGCGTACGGTAATCCAAAATTATGTGTCATGATCTCTTGCAATAAACCCAATTATTCCGTTGTCGACAATGCTTTTTTGGGTGACCTCATTCGTGACAGAAGTGACACTCTATGTCGGATGACAGGTTGCGATTCTGAAATTGGGGATTTGAGACAGCAAAGGCGGAGGGCTCTTGTGTAGCGGCAAAGATAGTCTCTCCTGCACCAGGGCGAAGATCGATTTGGGACTGGGTTCTAAGCCGAGTTTCCTCTCTCACGAGATAAGTAATAACGCCATCAAGTTGGAGCCCTTCCCTGTTCAGCAACGCTTACAGCCGCAAATTCAGGCCGCAAGCGCATAAAAAAAGAGAGCACGCGAGCCTGCTGCCGTTCAGCGACCGCATCTGCTGATGCGGGTGAGGACGGAGAGCTGTAGACACAATATCCTGTTATGTTCGGAGTTCCTGAGCGTGATTGAAATATTCGGTAATGTTGCGATCGCCTTGCTCCAGACGAGCTAAAGCCTTGCGTAGAATACGTCGAAGCCAGGTGTTTCCACATCTGATTCGCGGTGGAGAAAAGACGGAGACTCAAGCACGTAGATGAGTCCACCGAGCCCAATAACCAGTGACGAACACGCGCGTCATTTTAATTCCACAAGGAAATCTCGTGGGCAGACGCGGTTGATAGAGGTCGAGGGACCGTCCCATTGAGCACGCCAAGGAGACCTCTTCTTTCAACAAAGACCCTGAACTGAAATTCCCAGAGAGCAAAGTTTGTAGATGTCAGCCGAACTGAAGGACGATCAGATTCCATTGCCCGAAGCTCTGATACCATGTTGAACGATCGGAAATGAACGAATTGAAAGAATTAGAGCAAGAACAACCGGATTTACGTGGTATCCCTGGAATGTCCAGGACTAATCCACGGAAGAGTGTAAACTCTTCAGCTACTGATATTATTATCCCTCATATGTGTGTTACAGATGTAGCGGCTCTCACCACATATATACAAGCCGCAGAACATAACCTCACCAAGGAGGAAAGCCAAAATGAAAACCAATGAAAACCCTAACCACGTCTGCATGGGGTTTTTTTTTTAGATAAGGGTGATATAGGTTATTTTTTTATTATTAGGTACTACTAAAGAGACTCGAACCTGGAACCTCCAGGTTCATGACTAATGGTATTACCACTAGACCAATCCCTTGTTCGTCATGCATGAGTTTCATGGACCCAAACTTTATGTATAAATGGGATATTATACATTAAGTACAATAAATGGGCTTAGTACTCCGCTAACAATTACGGTATTTATTTTTAACTTCTTATTATTGTAGAGCATGTTTGTACTATCCATCTATTTGTTTTTTTTACCTTCCCATGCACTTTCTAACATTTGGAGTCGCGGAGCAATTTGTTCACCAATCCCTTTCATGCCCGATCTGCCCCCCTTCCTTTTCTCTCCGATTTAATTTTTCGTAATTAATTCTAGCCAATCATATTTTAATAAATTTAGCTTGGATTTCAAATATTTTTGTAAAAAAATAATATTATTATCGACCTATACCATCCATTTTTTTATATATAAAAAATTCATTTGACATACATTTTAGTCTTCGAGAAAATAGGTGTTGTACCAAGAGAGACCCGTCGAGACATTCGGGCTGATCAACTTGTCAAACTTTATTTGATATGGTTTGATCTTTATAAGTTGATTGAGCTTGTAAAGTCTTGTGTCTAAAAAAATGGTTCTAGTCAATAATCCAACCTCACGATGACATAGATATAATATTGTTTTGTCTATTTGTGTATGGCATGTTGAAGACATTCGTACATAAATATGAATTTTGTGTGAAATCTGTACACGTACTAAAATTCATCTACATCACGACTTAGTTTTGTGATACCATCAGAACTGTTTATAATTTTAAAGTCTCACTCATATATATATGTAGACTTTCCATCGCCTCAGTAGCATGTAAAAAGGAATTACTCAAGGTCAGGGGTAGGACACAAGGCAGAGCAGTGAGCTTCCTTACTCCAATATATCTAAACCCAATGCCATCTGTCTTCCCACCGACAACACTTCCCTCCCCGCTGCATATCGCCAAATATGGCCGACAATTCCATGTACTAAAAACGAACCACAAAAACCTTCCATCCCCTGCTCTCAATCTAATACCCACGTCGATTTCAGTGCAAAAATCAAAACAATGTCCCAATCCATTCCACCAGAGCTCATCGCTGACATCCTCTGCCGGCTCCCCACGCGCACCCTCGCCAGGTCCCGGTGCGTCTCCAAACAATGGCGCGAAATCATCGACGACTTCCACTTCACCAAACGACATTTACAGCATTCCATCCACACAAACTCCAACCGCCGCCTTTTCATCCAAATCGACCATTTCGCCGGTCTCAAACGCTTGAAATGCTGCCGTCCGGGAGCTCCTTTCCGATTCTCCGACGATCCGAATTTCGGTGGGGAAACCAGTAACACCCACCTGTTTATGGGCTCCTGCCACGGTCTGCTCTGTTTTCACCTAACCAACACCCTCGCTGACTTCATCTTGGTCAACCCATCCACGAGTCAACGCCACTATGTCAATAACTATCTCCAAAATTTCTCCCTCTGGGCCGGGGCCCAATTGGCCGGTCGTGGATTCGGGTACGACCCGATTACCCACGACTATAAGGCGGTGCGAATCGGGTCGTTCAATGATCAGTCGGAACCGCGGGCCGAGATTTACAGCTTGGGGGCGAGATCTCGCAAGGTGGTAAACATGCCGTACCTTCCGTTTGGTCCTCACCGGATGGGCGTCTCCGCCGGCGGCGGGTTGCATTGGATCGGCGGAAGGTGCGATGATTTATTCGGGCCGCGGGTAATCGTGTCTCTGGATCTCGGGTCCGACGAGTTTTACGAATTGCCGCAGCCGGAATTCGGAGATCAGCCTTTTATTCTGACGATCGGAGCTTTGGGTTCATGGTTGTGCGTCTGCGCGGCTTATGAAGATGACGAACGACTCGACGTTTGGGCGATGGAAGAGCCCGGGAAGAAGGGGAAAGGACGGTGTTGGAATCGGCTGTACTCGATTCGAGATGCTGCAGTGGGCCGTCGATGGGCTTTGGCTTTGGGCTTTTGGGAGGGCCGAATTCTGTTCATGTTGGACCGTAGTGGCTTTGCGTGGTATGATCCATCGAAGGAACGGGTTGATGTCGTTGAGGTTGATGGGCCGCCAGAAGATGTTTACTTTGATGCGGTTTATTGTTTGGAGAGTTTGGTTAAACCTTTTGTTTGGAAGGTTGAGGGAAAGAAGCAGGCAAAACAACGGAATGAGAAGAAGATAACATGGAGAAAAAAAGAGGTGTTCTTGATGGTAACATATGCTGGTAAGAACAATCGATGATCCCCTATTTCCCTGCTGGTTTAAATAGATTTTACACTGTTCAATTGACTGTGCAATCAATGTAACAGCATTTTTTGTTTATCAGTGTATAATTTCTCTTGAATTTCTTTTAGCTCTATATGTGCGTTGGTTTAGTACCTCCAATACTCTCATATAGAGTATAGCACGGGAAGATGGATAAACCTGGAATCCTTCTTCTTCTTCTTCTTCTTCTTCTTCTTCCCGTCCTCCGCAGCATAGCTCCAGCAATCGCTTCTGCAGACAGCCCAACTCCAATTCGACCCGCTGAAGCTCTTTCAACAAACGCTGAATCTTACTCTTCACTTCCACGTGTTCCTTCCTCGCTTGTTCTGATTCTCCTTGTATCGCCTGAAAGACCCAGAAAACGAAATGATGAGAAAGAAAGAAACATGGAGATAAATAATTACAGCTTTGATCTTCTCAGGGCAGGGGACAGACAGAGCAATCCTCACTTGGATTTGACTTCGAATCTCGTTCTTGCCCTTTACTGCAGTATTAAGTCCTACAAATGATCCCCATGAACAACTAGCAGTAGAAGAACCGTGTTTCCGGCATTCCTTGGTCTCTCTCAAGAGTCTTCTCTCTGCAGCCAAGCTCTTCCTTCCATGTTGCATTCTGAAATTCAGCAGCTGTTTTCTTGTTTTTGTGTGGATCAAAAACAAATAATGTTACAAAAAAGGCTCTGCCTTTCTTGAGAAAAAAGGATTATGGGGATCAATTACATTGATATTCATAAATTGTGTTGCAACTTACATGGTAATGGGTTTCTTTTTCCATTGTGGTTGATCTAATGCTTCTTCTATCTTGGTAAGCCCGATTCGCGAAACTCAGCTTGTCCAGAGATTGCTGCAGTAGATCCAACTTTTTCTTCCTGTCGATGACACCAAATCTGAACCCCCTATCACTCTCCTTCAAGCCTTCCAGCTTCCAGCGGATGCTGTCTCGGTCCTTCTGTCAAAGGCAGAAGAAGGGAAGAGGAAACCAGAAATGCATTAGGTCATTCATGAAGAAGGTAAACAATGTGACATCAGACTAGCATGGGGAAGCTTCAGTTGGAGGATCTCTGACCAAGATTTGCTCCAGTTTATCTCGAATGGAAAGCATTTTGATTTCGATTCTCTTTTCCCGCTGGCTTTCTTGATTTGCAGGTTGGCAGAGCTTGGATGTGTCAGCCTCCTTCTCAGCCATTATTGGATTCATATCAAAGATGCTGGTTTGTGAATTGGATGATCTTTTCCCCTCCTCATTTCGGATTATATAATGACCGATTGATTACTTGCCGCGTACAGCACGTCTTGTGTCCATTCAGCAACTGCAAATGGTTTGACTTGTTTTTATCAATGAATATTTTCAATGATTTAACTTGTAGTCATACCATTTATAAACTAGGGGAGAGAGATTATTTTAGAACATAAAATATGTTTCCATGTTAATCAACTACTAGGCTGAAACCCGTACGTTCCACGGGATGGTCCGTTTTTGTTTTACTAAAGCAATATGTTCAATTTTAACATAATAGTAAATTTTAAATTGTTAGAATCTATAAATGAAACAATATAACCTAACATGGAAATGAAAAATAGTGCGTTCATTCACATATAAAACCATGTCGAAAGAATCGAGTCAACTTTCCTTTAAAACAATATAATATCATTTAAACTATGAAAGTAAATTGTATTCTGTGGACAATGAGGTTTCAAATTCCAAAATTGAACACTAAGCAAAAAAAAAAAAAAAAAAAAAAAAATTATTTGAATATGATACTCACCAAGATTGTCAATTGATAAGAGTCTAAAGTGGAAATGTTGCGCACGATCAAAATGCGCGTGATCAGTCGACTTTGAGCTGAATAGTCGGAAACTCACAAAGATTGTTAATCTATAAGAATTCAAAATTGATAAGATTCTAAAACGGAAATGCATTGGCGGAATACGCGTGATCGAAATGCATGCCCATGTTACACGTGATTGGAATAGGAGTGATCATTCTACCTCTAGTTGAATAGTAAAAAACCTCACAAGAATTGTCATTTGGTAAAAATTTTAAAGCGAAATTTGCTTAGCGAGTATAAATGTAATCGAAATACGCATGGTGAGTGGGCGTATGTGAATTCCTTGATCTCCTTTAGGTGCTAAAAAATTAGTTAATGATAGAAACCGAATTCTTATGGGTTTCCATTATAATTACCATATTCATATTAGAGATAATTATTATGATAAACTATTGCTTGGTTGTTAAGTTTAGGTGTATTTTTAGGTTTTATATCTTTCCCTATATAAGTGTACTTTGGAGTTTCATTATAATCAATCAAGAAAGTTAATACGAAATTATCCCAACCCTAGTCTATCTTTCTCCCTCAATCTCGTCCCTCTCTATCTCTCTTCAAAGGCTTCGGTTGTTCTTCCTCAACCCCTAAATTCTTCTTCTAATTCCCAATTCTATTCTAAATCCCTAAATCTTAATCAATTACCAAATTCCCAATCCAATCGACAGAACCCTAGAAATAGGTTTCTATCATCTGGTATCAGAGACAGAATGAACCTATCCAAGTTCTTCGATTCAGAGTGGATTCGTCTCAGCCAACGGTTGCAGCAGTCTCTTGACCGCTACGAACGGGAAGCGCGGGAGAGGGCGGCGGCCGAGGGTGAGATGGTGGAGATGGCGGCGAGCACCGCCGCGGGCGAGACAGGGTGGAGGCGGTCGGCGGGGCTGACCGAGGACACCACGATGACGGGCCAGGCTATCACGGCTGCTTCCACACCGACGATTACTGCCATTGCGGCACCTGCAATCACAGTGGTCGTCGAGAAAGAGAGCTATTCGCCATCAGCTACCGCAGCTGCAAAACTCACCACTAACCCTGCTGGCAACAGTTGAACAACCATCCATGGAGAAGGAACATAATACTTCCGAGATTATCTTAGCGTTCCTGACCAAAGAAGGAGATGGCACGGTGGTCGAGATCTCAGGCAAACAGTCGTTGCTTCTGGCAATGAATGCAAAGCTTGAACACATCGCATCACCTGCAGCAGCGACCACCATCGGCGCCCTTTCCAAGAACACAACTCTCTAGATTGGAGCCGAGGAGCGGCGCAAGGCTACTGTAGCTGCTGAGCAGAAAGAAGATGACCTCGACGCTGTCTCCGGAAATGAGAGGGTCGTCGCCGCTAAAGAAGCAATCCGATCTAAGGGTTCGGGGATACGATGGGTTTAAGGAAATGGCAAAAGAAGCGTGGCTAAAGGGATCGAGCCTCACTAACTCGGCGTCCGAATTTCCCACGAAGGCCAGGTGGTGGAATTACCATGTTTTTGGTGATATCATCAAGAAGAAGAATTCTTTGCTGAACACGATCGAGCGTTTGGAGGCCAACCAGAGAGTGGGTGAGGATTCTGAACAGCTGAACCTCATACGCCAAGCCCTTGAAGAAGTGTCCAGGTACAGGAAGACTTGCTTTGGTGTCAGAAATCGAGGCTAGACGGAATCGTTTTGGGTGATCGCAATACTAAATATTTCCATGAGCGTACCATGCAAAGAAGACGTCGCAATCGTATTAGTGCTCTGAAGAATGTCGAGGGGGAATGGGTGGACGACCAAGGTGCTTTATTGGAGATGGCCCGAAATTGTTTTGCACTCCTGTACACGGATGAAGGGAACCAGCCTCAACCTATTTCCCCAGCATTTCCGCAAATCCCTGGGACAAGTTGGCTTTCAATTGCAATGGAGTTTAGTGCGGAGGAGATTTGGCCACCATTCACTTGGTTCAGAGGTGCATTAAAGGAGAGGGATCAAGGCGGGGTCGAGTGGCGAGCTGGCGATTTCGGAGGAAACCGAGGTCGGACAAAGAGGATTCAGAGGATAAGGCACCGTAGGTCAGGCCGGTAGGAGGCTGGCCTCCTTGCCGCCAGAGGGAACGAGCGCGCCAATCGCCGGCAGCTTCTCCTGGGGAGAAGTCGGAAGAGGCGATGGAGAAGGGGGCCTGCCCGGCACCGTCGAACGCACCAGTGGCGAAGGAATATGGCTGCGGGGCAGCGTGGGAGGATAGGACTGAAGCATTCGGCGGTGACCTCCCTCGCGCGTCGCCGGAGATTGAAACGACCGGAGGAGGATTCGCCGCCTGGGAGAGAAATGAGGGCGACGGCAGGAGTTGGCTCGTTTTCCCTCTGCCGCCGGATGGCCTGTTGGGCACAGGTTTCCTCGCCTGCAGCGCACGTCGAGCAGGAGGTTTGGTGATCGTCTGTGGATCTACTACGGGCGATGTCAACCAGGGAAGAGATGAAGGCCGGGCCGGAACCCGGTGTGTCTCACAGCCGCTGGGTGGTCTTTTTGCCGGCGGAGGTGGAAATGACATTGGCGGGCGAGGCGACAAGCTAGGGAGGAGGTTGGCGGTTCATCGTCACCGTCAGTCACGTGGGGGAGTGATGAAGCAGTGTGGAAGCTTGAAGGGATTAATGAGTCCCACACCTGGAACCTAGTGGGTCGCCATTTTCTTGGAGAAATATATGAGCAGCAGGTAAATACTTGCTGTAATTACACTACTCCATGGGATTGGTTCGCATGTGGGAAGATTGGAAAGAATCGTGCAAGAGAAAGAGAGCTAGACCAAGTGATTGTTGATACAATGAGAAGAGATGAGCGGATAAGAGTTGTTGTGGAGCCGAGCTGCACTGAAGAGGCTCATACGACAAGTTGGAGGAACGGCTGACGGTGGGTTGAGGGAGAGCATAGGCTCTCGAGCGGATACGCCAGAAGATGGGTTTGTCATTCTGAGCCACTACCGTTCAATCAGACCGCTCGAGATTACAACAAAGGAGTCTGCCCCGGTCATCTAGGCAGTTTGGTCGTTGCCTTCAATATCGTCTGGTGAGGCATTTACACCGGCAGGATAACGAGACTGGAGATGGCGAAGACGATAACATGCGAAATCCATCGCTTGGTCTCCTTGTACTGTGAGTGTGCGACCACTAATGAAGGAAGGTACCCATTACGTTGGGGGTGTAACCGGAGAATAGAAATGTCAGATGATGAAGATCGTAATTATGAAGTCCAAGTTAATGGAGGGAGAAGTATTTCAGATGCTGGCTATGGGTTGGAAGATGCCCAACAACAACAAAAGGTAAAAAAAGAATGGTATGTGGGAGGCGTGCATGGAATGGGGAAAAGGGAGCTCGATTTTGTCTTCATTAGAAGGCAAGTCGGCGCCAATAATGCCCATTTTGGCATCGGGCTACAAGTTGGCAACAGGCTAGCACAACTACGTGCAAAGGAAAACAACAAGAGCAGGCTGCTCGGGATGACGGAGGCAGCCGAGTCCTTGATTGGCTGGGAAGGGACGGGAGCTGGATCAAGTTCACGGGGCTTGACGGAAGAGGGAAGTGTCATTGGAGCTGCTCATGCTAATATTCAAGTTCAAGTTCCTCAAGGCAATTGGAAGTTCAGAAAGCGTAAACAACCGCCGAGTCAAGATTGCGGAAGATTGGTGGGGCTGGAGTTAGTGAACTTTGAGGGCAAGATTGATTTCAAGGAGGAGTGGATGATAGAAACCGAATTATTATGGGTTTCTATTATAATTACCATATTCATATTAGAGATAATTATTATAATAAACTATTGCTTGGTTGTTAAGTTTATGTTAGGTTTTCTATCTTTCCATATATAAGTGTACTTGGGAGTTTCATTATAATCAATCAAGAAAGTTAATACGAAATTATCCCAACCCTAGTCTATCTTTCTCCCTCAATCTCGTCCCTCTCTATCTCTATTCGAAGGCTTCGGCTGTTCTTCCTCAACCCCTAAATTCTTCTTCTAATTCCCAATTCTATTCTAAATCCCTAAATCTCAATCAATTCCCAATCCAATCGATAAAACCCTAAAAATAGGTTTCTATTAGTTAACAATTGGAATGGTGGTCACATAACAACTTTCAGATGACGACTCATATCGATCAATATACAAATTTTGTAGTCACATAACAACTCATGTTATAACCCTTGAACTTCTTATAATGGTCCAGCAAACAAATTCTCTCTGAATCAGACTCTCTACAATATCTTTCAGCCTCCTCAAGTAGCAATGTTGTAAGATAATGACCTAACATCCATAAATTTTTTGTTTTCTTTCGGTAGCTCACGTCTCACGATGAAATAATCCTTGACGAAACCAAGTAAACCATGTTGTATTTGGTTTGGTGGTGCTCCAGACCAAAAACAGAACCATACACTTGTTACAAGTTACTGTTGGACTTCATTCTTTTGCTGTTCTCTCAGATCAAGGATGTGCAGATGTACTTCTTGCTTTCTTCGCCGGAGATCGTTCAGCTGATTGTGTAATGAGCTATCCTCTTCCTGCAAATGTTCTAATCTTTCTTTAGCACGTCTAATCCCAACCTGCACTCTCCAGTGTTCCCACCTCGACTCCTCTGCTTCTTTATGCTTGGCCTTAAAATAACAGAAGGAACAGATAATATAAGTTTCACATCAGAAATGAGCGAACGAGGTACTTGTTAAGCACAAAATTGATTACAACTCATCTCTGGCCAGGCTTCACTCACACCAATTTGTTCTTTAATGGCGTTTTTCGAACCCAAAGATCTCCATATCTTCTCCCCTGCAACACAGTTGGCAATAACTTTCTCCTTCTCCATTTCAAGTTGTTTCAGCTGTCTGAGAAGCTCTTCCTTACCATTGACGTTACTATAGCACCTCACCCTGTACTGTATTCCTCTGATCTGCAACACAAACTGCATCAGCTTTCTTACAGAAGCACTATTTTGCATTTTCCTAATTGCTCAGAACTTCTAATCAGGCTTACTTTGGAGTGAATATCTTCCAGCGAGGACATGGAACCGTGAGACTCCTCTCCCTCCTTGGTTTTGATGTCCCTCACGACTCGTCTCTCTGCCTGGAGGCTTTTCTTTCCATGCATCATTTTGAAGTTCATCCTCTGTAGCATAAACATTATTTATGAGTACATTTCTACAAGCAGCCATCAACAACAACATGTTAAATTGTTAATTACCCGGTAATCGATTTCTTCCTCTCCTAAGAACGAATGCTTTGTGACATTGTCTCGGTATGCATTGTTTGCAAAGCTCAACTTGTCCAGGGCAAGATGGAGATGGTCCAGTGTCTCCTTTCTCCAGGAAACACCATATCTGAACGATTCATTGCAGCTCTTCAGCATGTTGAGGGCCGACCTTTTGGAGGCTATTTCGTCCTGGTAAAACAGCGAAACAGGTTTGATCAGTACTGGAGTCCCAATAGTACTAGGCTCTGTGGGTTCCAAGAAAGTTACTTGTTGATACCTCCTTATTGGCTATTCTCATATGAATCTCCTGGATTTTTCGGTTTGTCGTCTTCATTTGTTCCTCTGCTTCTTGTAAACTGCATCTTAAAGATTGTGGATCTCGGGGAGCTTCTGCTGTGAACTCCATTACCATAGTGGCTGTTGATGGTTGCTGGTTAAAGGAATATGGCAGCGAGGGGTTTTGGTGGCTTATTTAAACCAAGCAGAAAAAGTTGACAACATTCAACGCCATTGACAACCTCGCATGCTTTCCTTCCACGCCAAGGAAATGCCTTCACTTCAGAAATGGTCAAAGACTCAACTAATCTCGTTTACTTCTTCAACTAAAATATTTAACGAGTGACATCCAAAAAAAATAGGGTAGTTTGTCTGGTTGATTATTAAAAGTGATGGATTGTTAAGAATATATAGCTTTTGGGATAGATAATACTGGTTGTAGTAGATGGATAACTGAAATGAGTAACTTGCCCTTATTTCTCATTTTTATTATTTCAGTAATCAGTTGTGTTGAATGAAAAAGAGTATGCAACTGCAACTTCTCTGATGTTCTCTAAAATGGTGATTTCAATTTAATTAGCTAGGAAATTAAGGGAAAGCAAATGAGTGGCAAAAGCCATAGTTCCCTCGTTAGAAATGAGAAGAAACAGCACTTACATCGCCTGGGAAATCTGGGGTAGAAGAACATCAAACAAATTCCAAAGCAACAATAAGAAGCATCTTGCAACATAGCTCCTATGAGAACAATCGTGTATCTCTTTCAGAAACCCAGTCGATCAAATGACACACTCACAACCATACTTCATCAATACAAAGAAAAACAACAGTTGATCGCTTATTTTCATAGGTCGACCCAATTTAAGGAAACATATATATCTCAACCGACTGATTTGCTATGTATGATGACATATTAAAGCTGATCGGAGAACCAAACAATCCCCTGTTCATTGAAGAGGCCGATCTCTTAGTTTTCCGGTGGACCGAATTGATGACAAGATGCACACCCCAGTAGGGGTTTGCTATAACGGTTTTTAGAGTGATGAAGTAATAACGTAGATCGTTATTTAATGAAACTTATATTGATATTAACTCGAGTTGAATGGTAGCAGAGTCCTTGTTAATACTGAATCATTTCTAGTGGTGGAATCTTGTACCAATGCAGATAAGTTAATGACCACCCCGTCGAATGTTCTTTTGGAGCGGTCGACTTTAATTTCCTTTTGTAATTGTGTAATTTCATTTCAAAAAGATAAATGTGGCATCCAGTCTATCATTTGTGTAAAATGATTTACCGTTTTATCCAAATCGTGATTACTTGTAAGTCACCATAGCAAAGAATAAACTTTGTTGTTTCTTTGTATAAAAGGAGACAATTAAGGTGCAGCCTAGAGCTCCCTAGTCCCCAGCTCGTTACTCTTGGTATTTATATCCCCGTTCAAAGAATCAAGTCCTATGCCAAGTAGGGTTTACTCTAGAATTTTCATCCACTTGTCACAGCAAAGTAAATATTGCAGTTGATTCATCTTGCTAATTTTTCTTCCGTTTTTCTTTCCTTTTCTTTTTGGTCGGACGCCTGGCTACCTGTTTCTTCAGATCAAGAATTCGCTCCCGTACTTGTTGCTTTCTCCTACACAGATCATTCAGTTCACTATGTACTAAGCTATGCCCTTCCTGCAGACATTTCAAACTTTCCCTAACACTCTTAATCTCAATCTGCAACCTCTGACGATCTTCCTTTTGAGTCCTCTGCTTCCTTATGCTCTGCGTGAAATGATCCATTAATATATTAATTAAGTGTGAGAACCGCTAATGAATAGCAACCCAAACCTAGACTTTAATATATTAATATTAATTAATTAATTAATATATTAAAGTCTAGGTTTGAGTTACTATTCATTAGCGGTTCTCACACTCTTCCGATTGCAAGTGGGGAAGTTCCAACCCCTTCTTTTTACCCCACTCTCCATTCTACAACCTTTGTTTTTAGTTACTGGAAGGTCAATACTGGACCCCAAAATCAATTCATGAGCAAAAAAGCAAACCCTACTTATCGTGACATAAGTAGGCTACATGTGAGATCTAGGAAAAAAACTCTACTCAAACTAATTAATGCAATATTCTTTGTACACTTGCCAAATGGGCTAACCTAATTTCATAAGACCTCATTCATTTTATACACAAGATACTCATGTCACTTTCAGAATCCCTAAAACGTAAAAACTAATTGACTACTTTTCAACCAGATAGCAAGTACAAAGAAATCATGGAAATGATGTAACCTAAGTACCGTACTCATTGGTCAAGACTTTTGATGTGATAAAAGCACCATATCTAAAGGCCTCCCTCTTTCTCAAACAATTATAACCAAACTGAATTTGGCTACAAAGTACAAAAGTTAGCAGTAAAAGGAAACTGGCAGCCCTCAAACTACATATGGCTGCAGAAAAAATGCCCCTTAGGGGGTTAGTAAAAGTAAAACAACAAAGAACTCGCTAGGAAGTTTCATCTATCTAAAGAAGGCCAAATGTTTCCAATCTAATTCTTCATGTTATCTACTGCAAACATGAAGACAAGTTGATTGAAACTAACTCTGACAAACACATGGAATCCAACCAAATCCAGCAGTACATTCGTAAGAGCATTTAACTAACACCCATGAGTGAGCACTGCATTGGCGTGCATCCATCTCAGGATTCAGTCCTAACGATTGAGTAGCTAGGTAGGACGAATCCAAACAGAGAAATGTGATCTAAGAGAGTAGAGGTTGTCATAAAAAGGAGCCGTAGTAGACAGCAGGCGCGGTGTCGGGTATTTGGAAAAAGCTTGGAAAGCACCATCATTCCCAAAGGTGGAATCTTTTGCAGGACGAGGGAGGTTGTGCGATCCCAAAGCATAGTACGATGTCTTGTTGCTCGAGCACTGGAACCGCACATAATCAACATGGTCGTCATCTCCTGTTGAAGGCCTCCACCCTCCGGCATCGAAATCAAATACCACACAGTTGCGATACAGGCCATCTTTGACAAAAAGCTTTCCACCGAACTCGAACATGCCTCCCGCGGGCCAGCGCCAGCTAGGGGTGCGACTTGCGAGGCTCTACTGGTCGAGGAACGAGCCAGCGCCAGAGTCTCGTCGAGAGCTCAAATCCCGCCAACACTAGATCCTGGAAAAGGCAGTAGAAATTCCCTTTCAAGTACACCACCGACTGCAAGCTGAGCTCTGTTTGGAAGGCAGGGTGGAAGATGGGTTCTGGTTCCATAGCCCAATTACTATAACTACTGTTACTAGTTGCCGCATCAGCTACATCTAGTACTACTGCCTGGCATGTACCAACCGTGATCTCGCTCTGGCAGCGATGATTCTGATAGAAGGGTTCGTAGGTGCGGCGGTGAAGGATGGAGATGGCGAATACTTGGATGGTGGATGAATCATGATCAATTGGAGGAGCAAAAGTGATCGCAGCAACTTTTCCTGGTACAGAGAGTGAGGGGAGGTTCATGGAAGGCAGTTTTGGTCTAAGGGTGGAACTGGGGGAACGTCTCGCCAGCTCTTACACACGCTACGACAACATATTTGATCAAAATAACTCAAACGCCCAAACACGATTCTCGTGATTTCCACAGGCAGCTCAATCCAACTTGGCCCTCCGCTGCTGCTGCTGCTGCTGCAACCTCTTAGTCTTTGACATTTTCTGTTGGTCCACTTCTTCCTCATCCTCACTGTCTTCTTCTTCTTCTTCTTCTCCGACTTTAATTGAACATCCTTCTACCAATTGTTTGACTCGAACTGTATAAACCGAAAAGAAATCCGCTTGATATCGGGGAAAAAAGAAAAGGAATCCGTATCTAACACTGACAAGGAAATCCGAAAAAAGAAAAGTAATATTGATGAAAGATATAAACATATATCAAAGTTGCGCGGTTAGAAACCGAATTATATCGGGTTTCTATATTTATTATTATAATCATTATTAGGGTAATTCTTATTATGGTTAGTAGTCTTCTAGTAGAATTAGGGTTATTCTTATGGTTTTCTAGTATTTCCCTATATATATGTACTTTGGGTCATTCGTCAGATGAAGCAGAAATTAATAGAAAAGTCCTCCTTCCCCAAAACCCTAATCTCTTTCTCTCTCAAATCTCGTCTATCCTCCTATCTAGAGGCCTCGGCCGTTCTTTCTGTTCTTCCCCAATTCTGTTCCAGATCCCTAATTCTCTTCTAAATCCCTAAATCTCTACCAATTCCCAATTTCCCAACACAATCGATAGAACCCTAGAAATAGGTTTCTAACATCTGGTATAAGAGCAAGGTTCGAGAGTGAGTTCTTGAGCTCTTGAACCAGGGCAAACAACAATGGTGTCGACGAAATCCATGAAGGCAGCGGAGAAGGCAGCTCAGGCAGCCGGGAGGAACACCGAGGCGGGCGATGTTGATCTCGACGGGGTGGTGACGGACGACGTCACCGAGCTGGAGGCGGTGAAACTGGTGGTGCACGAGCACTCTGATGCGCTGGCTCGGCTCGAAGAAGGCCTGGCAAGGGTGCAGGCTGACGCGAAGGCGGATGCCGATGATCTGCGACAGAGGCTGGAAAACCTGATGCGGGCGATTGCCTCGCTGCAGGCAAAGGGGGATGGATCAGGGGGAGCGCCGATTCTGGCTGAGTCGGCGATCGAAGGAGGCGGCGCGACGGGGGCTGCGGAGACTGTGGCGACCGCGGCGGGCGGCTGTCAGCGGGACCACGGCAACGGTGGCGCAGGTGGGCGCGGCTCTCGCGAAGGCCGGCGGCGGGGCGAGCGCGGCAAGGGCGGCGGCGGCTCAGGCCGAAGGAAGCAGGGCGGAGGACACCAGGCCGGGCCGAGCTGATCGAACTGCAGTAGGTGTGAGCTCGGGTCTGTTACCGACACCTACGGCCCAAGAGATTGCGGCCCGAAAGGGAAAGGCTAAGATGTCCGGGTATGACACGGACGGGCCGCCTATGGGTAATGGGCCGGGACCGTTGGGCCACTACACGAAGGTCCATAACGGGCTGGGATGGTTGGATCTGGAAGATGGGCCCGAGTATGACAAATTGAGCTTGGCGGATCAGCAGGCCCAGTGGGCTGAACCGGAGTTGGACCTGAGGGGGCTGGGTGGGCCGAGGAGGGCTGGTGACAAGATGGGGAAGGGAGGGTCGGCTCCAAGGGTGCGGACCGCATTGGACTGGGCAAGAGCGGGCCGAGCCGAAACCGGTCGAGCCGGGATCGGGCGGACTGACGAGGATCAGACCGAGTTGAGCCGAACCGGACCGGGTCGGACCAGAATGGGTCGACCGGAGGTGGGTCGAACCGGACATCGATCGAGCCCTACTTCTCAGCCGATCAGGAGGGTGGACAGCAGGGGACCAGCAGGCTGGGAGGGGCCTTACGAGGCACCTCCCGCTCCAGGAGGGTACCCGAACCAACAAGGGAGCTACCCGGGTGATTATGGGCACGGAAATCCAAGCCAGATGCAGTGCGTTCCATTTGGGCAGCCGTGGAGGACCCCAGGAAATGACAGGTATGGGTCCCACTATATGAACTATGAAGGAATGGATGGAGTAGTTTTTCGAGCTAAGCCTCCTACCATTGAGTTTCCAAAATTCAATGGGCAAGAGGATGCAGGCCTTTGGTTGTATGCAGTTGAGAGGTGGTTTAAGAACCACCCAATTCCAGAGGAGAGGAAGGCCTATCTGGCATCGTTGTATTTGGAGGGAGATGCGCTCCAGTGGTGGGAGTGGAGGGAGAGATCCTACGCAGCCGCAACAACTTTGATCACCTGGCACATGTTTTAGGAAGAGCTCCGCTATCAGTTTGGGAAGTCAGATGGGTGGGCTCCTCAGCAGTTGGCGAAACTGAAGCAGACCGGCACGGTGGCAGAATACCGTGCGGAGTTCTTCAAGTTGGGGAACTAGTGTAAAGGAGTCTCGGAGGACACCTTGGTGGGGTTGTGCATGGAGGGTCTCAAGCCCGAGATAGCAGCGGCAGTCAGAGTGTTTGAGCCCGATTCTGTGAAAACTGCTTTTCGTCTTGCAGGTCATAAGGAGGAAGAACTGGCAAACTGCCTTCACCGCCGCACCTACGAACTGGCGAGACGTTCCCCCAGTTCCACCCTTAGACCAAAACTGCCTTCCATGGATGTTTTTGCTGTGCGAAGATACCAAGGCCGTGCGAGGCTCTACTGGTCGAGGAACGAGCCAGCGCCAGAGTCTCGTCGAGAGCTCAAATCCCGCCAACACTAGATCCTGGAAAAGGCAGTAGAAATTCCCTTTCAAGTACACCACCGACTGCAAGCTGAGCTCTGTTTGGAAGGCAGGGTGGAAGATGGGTTCTGGTTCCATAGCCCAATTACTATAACTACTGTTACTAGTTGCCGCATCAGCTACATCTAGTACTACTGCCTGGCATGTACCAACCGTGATCTCGCTCTGGCAGCGATGATTCTGATAGAAGGGTTCGTAGGTGCGGCGGTGAAGGATGCAGATGGCGAATACTTGGATGGTGGATGAATCATGATCAATTGGAGGAGCAAAAGTGATCGCAGCAACTTTTCCTGGTACAGAGAGTGAGGGGAGGTTCATGGAAGGCAGTTTTGGTCTAAGGGTGGAACTGGGGGAACGTCTCGCCAGCTCTTACACACGCTACGACAACATATTTGATCAAAATAACTCAAACGCCCAAACACGATTCTCGTGATTTCCACAGGCAGCTCAATCCAACTTGGCCCTACGCTGCTGCTGCTGCTGCTGCAACCTCTTAGTCTTTGACATTTTCTGTTGGTCCACTTCTTCCTCATCCTCACTGTCTTCTTCTTCTTCTTCTTCTCCGACTTTAATTGAACATCCTTCTACCAATTGTTTGACTCGAACTGTATAAACCGAAAAGAAATCCGCTTGATATCGGGGAAAAAAGAAAAGAAATCCGTATCTAACACTGACAAGGAAATCCGAAAAAAGAAAAGTAATATTGATGAAAGATATAAACATATATCAAAGTTGCGCTGTTAGAAACCGAATTATATCGGGTTTCTATATTTATTATTATAATCATTATTAGGGTAATTCTTATTATGGTTAGTAGTCTTATAGTAGAATTAGGGTTATTCTTATGGTTTTCTAGTATTTCCCTATATATATGTACTTTGGGTCATTCGTAAGATGAAGCAGAAATTAATAGAAAAGTCCTCCTTCCCCAAAACCCTAATCTCTTTCTCTCTCAAATCTCGTCTATCCTCCTATCTAGAGGCCTCGGCCGTTCTTTCTGTTCTTCCCCAATTCTGTTCCTGATCCCTAATTCTCTTCTAAATCCCTAAATCTCTACCAATTCCCAATTTCCCAACACAATCGATAGAACCCTAGAAATAGGTTTCTAACATCTGGTATAAGAGCAAGGTTCGAGAGTGAGTTCTTGAGCTCTTGAACCAGGGCAAACAACAATGGTGTCGACGAAATCCATGAAGGCAGCGGAGAAGGCAGCTCAGGCAGCCGGGAGGAACACCGAGGCGGGCGATGTTGATCTCGACGGGGTGGTGACGGAGGACGTCACCGAGCTGGAGGCGGTGAAACTGGTGGTGCACGAGCACTCTGATGCGCTGGCTCGGCTCGAAGAAGGCCTGGCAAGGGTGCAGGCTGACGCGAAGGCGGATGCCGATGATCTGCGACAGAGGCTGGAAAACCTGATGCGGGCGATTGCCTCGCTGCAGGCAAAGGGGGATGGATCAGGGGGAGCGCCGATTCTGGCTGAGTCGGCGATCGAAGGAGGCGGCGCGACGGGGGCTGCGGAGACTGCGGCGACCGCGGCGGGCGGCTGTCAGCGGGACCACGGCAACGGTGGCGCAGGTGGGCGCGGCTCTCGCGAAGGCCAGCGGCGGGGCGAGCGCGGCAAGGGCGGCGGCGGCTCAGGCCGAAGGAAGCAGGGCGGAGGACACCAGGCCGGGCCGAGCTGATCGAACTGCAGTAGGTGTGAGCTCGGGTCTGTTACCGACACCTACGGCCCAAGAGATTGCGGCCCGAAAGGGAAAGGCTAAGATGTCCGGGTATGACACGGACGGGCCACCTATGGGTAATGGGCCGGGACCGTTGGGCCACTACACGAAGGTCCATAACGGGCTGGGATGGTTGGATCTGGAAGATGGGCCCGAGTATGACAAATTGAGCTTGGCGGATCAGCAGGCCCAGTGGGCTGAACCGGAGTTGGACCTGAGGGGGCTGGGTGGGCCGAGGAGGGCTGGTGACAAGATGGGGAAGGGAGGGTCGGCTCCAAGGGTGCGGACCGCATTGGACTGGGCAAGAGCGGGCCGAGCCGAAACCAGTCGAGCCGGGATCGGGCGGACTGACGAGGATCAGACCGAGTTGAGCCGAACCGGACCGGGTCGGACCAGAATGGGTCGACCGGAGGTGGGTCGAACCGGACATCGATCGAGCCCTACTTCTCAGCCGATCAGGAGGGTCGACAGCAGGGGACCAGCAGGCTGGGAGGGGCCTTACGAGGCACCTCCCGCTCCAGGAGGGTACCCGAACCAACAAGGGAGCTACCCGGGTGATTATGGGCACGGAAATCCAAGCCAGATGCAGTGCGTTCCATTTGGGCAGCCGTGGAGGACCCCAGGAAATGACAGGTATGGGTCCCACTATATGAACTATGAAGGAATGGATGGAGTAGTTTTTCGAGCTAAGCCTCCTACCATTGAGTTTCCAAAATTCAATGGGCAAAAGGATGCAGGCCTTTGGTTGTATGCAGTTGAGAGGTGGTTTAAGAACCACCCAATTCCAGAGGAGAGGAAGGCCTATCTGGCATCGTTCTATTTGGAGGGAGATGCGCTCCAGTGGTGGGAGTGGAGGGAGAGATCCTACGCAGCCGCAACAACTTTGATCACCTGGCACATGTTTCAGGAAGAGCTCCGCTATCAGTTTGGGAAGTCAGATGGGTGGGCTCCTCAGCAGTTGGCGAAACTGAAGCAGACCGGCACGGTGGCAGAATACCGTGCGGAGTTCTTCAAGTTGGGGAACTAGTATAAAGGAGTCTCGGAGGACACCTTGGTGGGGTTGTGCATGGCGGGTCTCAAGCCCGAGATAGCAGCGGCAGTCAGAGTGTTTGAGCCCGATTCTGTGAAAACTGCTTTTCGTCTTGCAGGTCATAAGGAGGAAGAACTGGCTAGCTGGAGGAGCACCATTGGCCGCTTCTCAAAGCCGAGTGGAGGAGGAGGAGGCAGCGGGAGCAGTGACGACGCAGGAGGGGCGCTAGGAGGGGCTCGAATGGGGCTAACGTGAGCAGTGGAGGTCCTGCTCCAGTGGCCAGGCTAGGACCGCGGGCCGTACCGAAAGGGTTCGTGCGACTGTCGCCGGCGGAGATTGAGCAGAAGAGGCGGGAAGGCAAGTGCTTCAACTGTGATGGCCGGTTCACCATCGGGCATCAGTGCCCGAAGCCGGATTTGATGATGTTAGTCGGGCGCTGGGAAGATGAAGCAGAAGATGAGGTCGAGGACGGCGGAAATGGCGAGGAGGAGGCCTAGTGAGCTAGAGGAACAACCTTGGGGACAAGGTTGTTTTTCGAAGGAAGCGGGGATGTGGGAAACACATTAATTGCAGTATTTTGTTAATTCGTATTATTGTCGGTTTTTATGATTTGGGGTATTATTTGGGGTATTTGGGAATAAACAGGGAGTTGATTGTTATGTTTAATTAGTTGGGTAGTCAAGAGATTAGGCGGATTATATAATCTGTACTAGGGCATTATATAATAAAAAAACCCTAAACTAGTATCCCTCTCTCTTCTTCTCCTTCCTGCGCAGACTCACTCTTCCTCTCTTCTCCAAGTACTGCGGCAGCAGCAGTAGCCAATTCTTCCCCTTTGTTCTTTCTTTTCCCAAATCCCAAACCCTAGCTAGATCAATCCCTAATTGATCTAGCTAAATTTCCCAATTCCTATCACGTTAGAAACCTTGTTTCTAACATCTGGTATCAGAGCCCGGTTTCGAGAATTGAGTTCACCACAACTCTCAACCGGGGACGATTTCTACAACTGGTTCGACGATGAGCTCTTCAAAGCTCTCGAACCTGTCGTGGGTAGAATTGCGGGACAGAGCCCGCCGCATCGGCCGCCGTTGGCTGCCCGAAGAGCCGGCGGTCGAGCTTTCTGGTGCCGCCCCAATCGCGCGCCCCCCTTCGTCGGCCGAGACCGCGCCGCGCACTGGAGGAGGTCGGGCCGAGCAGCAACGCCCCGCGGTGGTCGAGGCCGCGCCGCGCGCGGGAGAGGAGAGGGCCGAGCGGCGCCCCTTGGTGCCCGCTGTGATCGGACGTCGTTGGTTTTCCGAAGAGTCGCCGACCGCGCAAATAGAAGACGGCGGAGAGCTTTCCCACGCACCGCCGGAGTCGGTGGTCGAGAAGGAGGAGTTTCCGCCGGAAAACAAAGCGCTGAGGAAGACGACAAAGATTGGGTCCGCCGGATCGTGGCCGCCAGATAAGACGGCGGGGAAGGAGCAGCCGATGAGGGAGCTGCCTGGGACGAAGAAAGGGAAGCGGCGGACGGCTCCTCTCGCTGCGACCTCGAGCGTGGAGAAGAAGCTGAATCCGATGCGGATGATGGTGGAGCAGCGGACGGGGTCTCTCGGGGCAGCGACGAACGTGGTGAAGAAGCAGGAGCTGAGAATGGCATATTTTAAGGTGGATTGTGAAGATGGACTCAAGGAAGAACAACTCTTTGATTCTTACTTTGTAGAGTTTGAAAAAGAGGTTGGTGAGTCATTTGGCCATGGTTGTGAAACGAGCCATGCGGGTAGAGAAGAAGCCATGGAAGACAGAGTTGCTGGAGTCGGCTTCATTCAAGTAGTGGTGCACAATTGGAAGAAAAGGAAGCGTAAGAAATGGAGGAGTCAACCACGGATTGTGCGAGAAGAAAGAGAAGAGTGGGTCGAGTTGATCAACCTTGAGGGCAAGGTTGGTCTGAAGGGGGAGGAGATGTTAGAAACCGAATTATATCGGATTTCTATATTTATTATTATAATCATTATTAGGGTAATTCTTATTATGGTTAGTAGTCTTCTAGTAGAATTAGGGTTATTCTTAGGGTTTTCTAGTATTTCCCTATATATATGTACTTTGGGTCATTCGTCAGATGAAGCAGAAATTAATAGAAAAGTCCTCCTTCCCCAAAACCCTAATCTCTTTCTCTCTCAAATCTCGTCTATCCTCCTCTCTAGAGGCCTCGGCCGTTCTTTCTTTTCTTCCCCAATTCTGTTCCTAATCCCTAATTCTCTTCTAAATCCCTAAATCTCTTTCAATTCCCAATTTCCCAACACAATCGATAGAACCCTAGAAATAGGTTTCTAACATGCGCGCAATAGATCACTGCGTTAAGTTGTTTCAACTTCAGGGCTATGTCTCACTTACCTTAATATATTCTTTGATGGTTTTTCTCGAATCCAAAGAACTCCATATCTTTCCCCCCAAAACACAGTTAGCAACAACTTTCTCCCTCTCCACTTCCAGCTGTTTCAGCTGCCGGCGAAGCTCTTGATCTCCAGCCCTGTCTTTGCCCGTAGCCATATCTGTACTGAATATGATCAGCCTGTAATGTGCTCCTCTTGTTGTTGCTGCTCGGCTTTTTGCGGTGACGGGTGTGGGCCCGGGTTTGTGTCAAGATTGAATGGCGGCAAAAAAAATTGTGGGGCGAATTAATAGGCACTGGCGCTTTATTTATTTATTTTTTTTCTGGAGACCGTTTGCTGACGTGATAATAAAAGGAAATTTGATGAGCATAGGCCATAGGGTCTGTTTGTTACTCATTTATTATGAGTGCTGAACTGCTTGTTAAGCACAAAATTGATTACAGCTCATCTCTAGCCAGGCTTCACTCACACCAATTTGTTCTTTAATGGCGTTTTTCGAACCCATAGATCTCCATATCTTCTCCCCTGCAACACAGTTGGCAATAACTTTCTCCTTCTCCATTTCAAGTTGTTTCAGCTGTCTGAGAAGCTCTTCCTTACCATTGACGTTACTATAGCACCTCACCCTGTACTGTATTCCTCTTATATGCAGCACAAACTGCATCAGCTTTCTTACAGAAGCACTATTTTGCATTTTCCTAATTGCTCAGAACTTGTAATCAGGCTTACTTTGGAGTGAATATCTTCCAGCGAGGACATGGAACCGTGAGACCCCTCTCCCTCCTTGGTTTTGATTTCCCTCACGACTCGTCTCTCTGCCTGGATGCTTTTCTTTCCATGCATCATTTTGAAGTTCATCCTCTGTAGCACAAACATTATTTATGACTACATTTCTACAAGCAACCATCAACAACAGCATGTTAATTACCCGGTAATCGATTTCTTCCTCTCCTAAGAATGAATGCTTTGTGACATTGTCTCGGTATGCATTGTTTGCAAAGCTCAGCTTGTCCAGGGCAAGATGGAGATGGTCTAGTGTCTCCTTTCTCCAGGCAACACCATATCTGAATGATTCAATGCAGCTCTTCAGCACGTTGAGGGCCGAACTTTTGGAGGCTATTTCATCCTGGTAAAACAGCGAAACAGGTTTGATCAGTACTGGAACCCCAACAGTACTTGGCTATGTGGGTTTCAAGAAAGTTACTTGTTGATACCTCTTTATTAGATATTCTCTTATGAATCTCCTGGATTTTTCGGTTTGTCGTCTTCATCTGTTCCTCTGCTTCTTGTACATTGGTGGACCTATTCAAAGCCAAGGGTTGTCAGTTGACAAACCTTGACTGAAAAATTGGAACAAATTTACACACTAAAAATTAAATTGTTGTTAGCAGGATTTAACCTTGACAATTTGACAAAACTTGATACCTAAGTTCCGTTAAACGACTAATCCATTGTTGTTATAATCATTACAAAGCAAATATATAATGGCCCATCTGCCAAATCCAAGTCCATTTAAAATCTAATTAATCTCCTTTTCTTCTTTGGAGAATGAAAACTCAATACCAATAATATTACAACTCTCGGCTTGTGACTCCCCATATTCCCAAATACAATTCCCAACCTTTTTTTTTATAGAACCCTTGCTTGCTTCCCCTTCTTCTATCCTCGTTCATCGACAACTCATTGTCAGGCGGCACTCGGCAGCTTCTAAACCCCCCAACGCATACGCCATATCACAACACATGTAAGTATTGCTTTCCTTTGATGTATTGCACTTTCTTTAATTTTTTTTATTTAGTTGAAGTAGAAGAATGGACATGGACGCAAGCAGTAGTCCATGGAGTTCTTCCTTTTTTAGTTTCAGTTTTTACTTTGTCCTTTATAATAAGTTAATAACTATGATTTTCATTGTTAATCAATCAGCTTATGTAGTTATTTATCTTTTGAAATCAGATATGGACAAGTATTTGATAAAAAGACCGAGGGCTGAGCAAAATTCGAATAATGATAGTGGAGAAGCTCAATCTTCTTCACCTTCGTTGAATCAAACTGCTATCCCTTCAAGTAAGTCTTCTTCTAGACCTACCGAATATGAGATAGATGATGTGGATAATCTGGAAGTTGATCCGGGGTTAAGGAGAAAGTTTTCAACTTTTCCTGCTAATAAGCAAGATGAAATCAGAAGAGCGTATCTTCAAAAGGGGCCCTATCAACCAACAGGTCCTACTTTCCCCATTACAGAGATGAGCTGATTTAATCCCAAATTCAATCCAGATTGGTATGTTGATTATAAAACATGGATAGAATACAGTGTTGCAAAAGATGCTCTATATTGCCTACCTTGCTATTTGTTTAGATCAAGTGTTGGTAAAAAAGGCGGAGGAGAAGCTTTCATTAGTCAAGGTGTTAAATGTTGGAATAGGAAAAAGGCTTTGGATGATCATGTGGGTAGACCAAATAGTTCTCATAATGTGGCTGCCAGGAAAGGTGAAGATTTGTTGAAACAGTCACAGAGCATTTCAAGTGTCTTAATAAGGCAATCAGATAAAGCCAAAATTGAGTATCGAACACGTTTGCAAGCCTCAGTTACTACAGCTAAGGTTCTTCTACGGCAAGGAGTGTCATTTCGTGGGCATGATGAAAGTGAATTCTCGGAAAACAGAGGAAACTTTCTTGAAATTTTTGGAAGTTATTGCTAATGAGAATCCGGATGTGCGCAGTGTTGTGTTGGAAATGCTCCAAAAAATCATCAATTGACATCTCCAAAGATTCAAAAAGATATTGTTCGTGCAATAGCATCTCTTACAACAAAGGAGATTATCAAAGATCTTGGAGATGCATTTTTTTTGCATATTGGTGGATGAATCTCGTGATGTATCAACCAAAGAGCAGATGGTTGTTGCTATACGTTATATGGATAAAAAAGGTTGTATTATAGAGAGATTTCTTGGTATTTCTCATGTAACTGATACCAAAGCCGCTACACTTAAGAAGGAGATTGAGTCAATGCTTGGGTTACATGGATTGAGTTTGTCAAGGATAAGGGGGCAGGGATATGATGGAGCTAGCAATATGAGAGGAGAAATCAACGGGTTGAAATCTTTAATTCTGGAAGAGAATCCATCTGCTCATTATATTCATTGCTTTGCTCACCAACTTCAGTTAAAACTGGTTGCTGTTGCGAGAAATCATGGGGAAGTCAACCGCTTCTTTGGTCATGTCATTGCCTTGATTAATTTGATTGGAGGATCTCCTAGACGACGTGACAGTCTTCGAGACAACCAAGCCACTAAAGTAATCGAGGCTATAGCTAGTGGTGAACGAGAGAGTGGAAGAGGGTTGAATCAAGAAGTAGGTCTTAAAAGGCTGGGAGATACTCGTTGGGGGATCACATTTTGGTACTCTTATTAACCTGATGGATATCTTCGCTGTTGTGGTTGATGTGCTGAAGGATATGTATTATGATGGAAGTGTTGATTTGTGAGGTTACGCGCTTGATCAGTTGCATATTATTCAAACTTTTGAGTTTGTCTTTTTTATGAAGTTCATGATTGAAGTGCTTGGAATTACAAATGAGTTGTCCATAGCACTTCAAAGGAAAGATCAAGACATTGTCAATGCTATGAAACTAATTACGTGCTCAAAAGATAGATTGCAGAAGTTAAGAGATGAAGGATGGGAGCCTCTTCTTAATGATGTGATTTCATTCTGCACCAAAGAACAAATTCATGTTCCTAACATGAATGACTTGTTCGCTCTTCCCGGAAGAACAAGGCGTAACCCTCATCAACCCACAAACTTTCATCACTTTCAAGTTGAAGTGTTCTATGCGGTTGTGGATATGCAATTTCAAGAGTTGAACAACCGATTTACTGAGGTGAATACTCAATTGCTGGCTTGTATTGGTTGTTTTAGTCCAGCTAACTCATTTGCTGCTTTTGATAAAGAAAAGTTGATGAGTCTTACCAAGTTCTACCCCATTGAGTTTCCTTCCTTTGTGCTTACACGACTTGATTGACAATTGATGGGGTATATTTCGCATGTCAAGTGTGGTGAGGCATTCAAAGATTTGCGAAGAATCGATGAGCTGGCTAGGCGAATGGTGGAGAGAGGAAAGGATAATTTATATCCCTTGGTATATATGCTTTTGAAGTTAGTGTTGACTTTACCAGTTGCAACCGCAAGCGTGGAGAGAGCCATTTCAGCAATGAAATTCGTTAAGAACGATCTTCGAAATCGTATGGGGGACCAATTTATGAATGATTGTTTGGTCGCATTCATTGAAAAAGGCGTGAGTCGCAACATAAGTGATGAATGTATTACAGAAACTTTTCAGAATATGAAAACACGTCGTGGTTCGCTATGAGATATGATGAATCGATGTACTTTATGAATTAAACTTTTTAATTTTAATTTTAGTTTTTTTTTATATATTTTTTTTTGTAAACTGCATCTTAAAGAGTGTGGATCTCGGGAAGCTTCTGCTGTGAACTCCATTACCACAGTGGCTGTTGATGGTTGCTGGTTAAAGAAATAGGGCAGCGAGGGGTTTTGGTGGCTTATTTAAACCAAGCAGAAAAAGTTGACAACATCAACGCCATTGACAAACTCGCATGCTTGCCTTCCACGCCAAGGAAATGTCTTCACTTCAGAAATGATCAAAGACTCAACTAATCTCGTTTACTTCTTCAACTAAAATATTTAACAAGTGACATCTAAAAAAAACAAGGGTAGTTTGTCTAATTGATTATTAAAAGTGATGGATGGTTAAGAATATATAGCTTTTGGGATAGATAATCCTGTGATAGAAATCTATTTCTAGGGTTCTATCGATTGGGTTGTGAAATTAGGGATCGATAGGAATTAGGGATTTATAATAGAATTTGGGGAAGAAGATAGAGAATTGGCCTAGGCCTTTAGAGGGTTTGAGAACGAGAATTGAGAGGATAGGGAGATTAGGGTTTGGAAGGCTTTTCTTAATATTCTTCTTATTGATTCTGAATAAAACGCAAAGTACATATTTATAACGAAAGACTGGAAAAACCTAATAAACTAACCTAATGTGACTCAAAGAACACTAACCATATCTAATAGAATCCTAATAATAGTAATTAGGATAAATCCCGAAAATCGGGTTTCTATCATCCCCTCACCCTTGAGACCAACCTTGCCCTCAAGGTTGACCGAATCGACCCATTTCTCCACCTTCCACGTACAATCCGCGCTCCGGTATTGTGCCTTGCCCTCATAGCTACTAGCTTGCCCCACATGTGATCCGGACTACTTCTGCTAATTCATGCCTAAGAAGAGCGCAACGAGCCACTTCTCGCGTGGATATGCTGAGTCACGAAAGAAGAGCTGGCTCTCTCTAATTGCTCTGCTTCCTCTTAAAAGGAGGAAACAATTGCTTTCCATGTAGACCACATCAAAAGCATTTAAGAAGTTGACACCTTTACTTGCTCCTTCCACGTGGCCATGAAGCTCCTGCACATCAGTCTTCCTTCTCCCACGGTCGTTGCCCATTATCTTCTTTGCTTTCTTAAGTTCACGCTTCTTCAATTCTTTTCCATAGGTACCCACTAGGATACCCACGATCCTTTGAAGTTTCTGGCGACAGGCATTAACCATTCTAGCCTGCAAGGGAAGCTCGCAAAGGTGAGTTGTCTCGCGCAAGACGAGCCCAACATTCTCCTTTCTTACCCGTCCATGAATGAGGCTGCTGGAGTCCGTCCCTTCCCTTGTCCCAGTTTCGCTGGCCCATTCAATCCGAGAGCCCAACCAATTACCACGACCCGGTCTGCCGAAGTGTGGTGGGCGTCCAGTAGGTATGCAGAGGGTTTGCGAGGGGAAAAGCACAGCCCTATGTAGCCGTCCGCTCCCTCTCCGTCTTCGTCCCCGACAACTTCTCATCCGACGGCGAACTGATCCTTAGGCGGAAGATTCCACCTTCCTCCAGCTTCATCTTTGCCGCCGCTACTTCGGAAGCGATCGTCGAATGCCTGCCCGATACCATCACGACGAATGGCGTTCCCGATGATTGCAACGCCACCTGCACAGCAGGAGAGTAAACTCGATGGACTGTCGTTGTCTGGATGTGGATTCCTCGTTCGCTGACGGTCCTCCGGGTCGTGGATTTCCTTCGACGCGTTGTCCTCCAGGCGGCTGAGAGCCAAACCCAATCTTGCGAACATCTTCTTCGGCTCCAATATTTCGTTAATCGTTGTTACTACCAGGACTGCCAACCCACGCCGCGTCCATTGCTCGCCTCGAAGCTCTGACCATCCCACCCGGCGGCTGCTTGTGTCCTCTGGCTCCCCTCGCCTGGTGTTGTCGACTCCGCTCTTAGTCCGTGTTGTTCCCATTTCTAGAATCCTTGCAGTATGGGTTTCTGAAATCATGCGAAATGACAAGAGTCGAGCGCCATTGGGGATCTCTTCCCCCTCACTTGAGTTCACCTGAAGCATCGACGACTTCTCCCGATTCTTCTGTTTCTCGAAATCAAATCAATCTCCTCGCCTTTGATCCTCCTTCATCGACGACGACTTCAGTTTCTTTTCCATGGTCGCCGTCTTCGTCCCCAATAGCTCCCTCATCAGTGATTCCTTCTTCGTCATCTTTTCTGGCGGCAGTGGTGCAGCAGCTCCCAGCTCTCCCCCACTGGATCTCGATTTCTTCTTCCTGAATTTCCAGCCACCGATTGGAGTTTCCAATTGTATTGGGTTCGTTCTAGGATTAACCTTCTCCTCCTCCAGATCCGATGCAGGCTCCTCAGTGCTCGATGTGGCAGCCGAAGCCGCTAGGGATTGCTCCCCTACCATCTCCTCGGAGGAAGACGTCGGGGTTTGCTGAGTCTCCTACGTTGATTTCTCCTTCGATAGTACCTCACTCTCCACCGGCTCGAGTGGCGTCGAGTACTTTCCCTGGTGGTTGGTGGTTGACACAATGTTAATTGGCAGAGGTTTGGTCTTGGTTTCATAACTCGACAGGTTGGTGGTGGCGATTGAAAGCAGCGAATCAGGAACCCGGACGTTGAGACTACATATTCCGAAGCCAGCACTATAGTGTGCAACATCGTAGAATTCCTCGAGCTCGATGTGCCTCTTGAAACGGATCCATCTATGGTCGTAACCCAATGGACGCTCTGCCGTAATAATCAGCTCATTCAATGACGTTCTCTGTACCTCTATGTGCTCTCTCTCGAACCCAGGCAAGAAGAAGGAGAAGCGAACGTACCGACGATACTCTGTCCTAGTGATGCTTGGTTCGAGGTCTTCAAACACACGTTCGTACCTGGTTGAGAGTTGTGACGAACTCAGATTCGTGACCATGGCTCTGATACCAGATGATAGAAACCTATTTCTAGGGTTCTATCGATTGGGTTGGGAAATTGGGGATCGATAGGAATTAGGGATTTAGAAGAGAACTCGGGGAAGAAGATAGAGAATCGGCCTAGGCCTTTAGAGGGTTTGAGAACGAGAATTGAGAAGATAGGGAGATTAGGGTTTGGAAGGCTTTTCTTAATATTCTTCTTATTGATTCTGAATAAAACGCAAAGTACATATTTATAGCGAAAGACTGGAAAAACCTAATAAACTAACCTAATGTGACTGAAAGACTACTAACCATATCTAATAGAATCCTAACAATAGTAATTATGATAAATCCCAAAAATCGATTTTCTATCATACTGGTTGCTGAAATGGATTGTAAGATGGATTGCTGAAATGACTAAATTCCCCTGGTTTCTCTTACTTCTTGATTATTTATTTCATTAATTAGTTGTGTTGAATGAAAAGGATGCGGAACAGGGTTAACTGCCCATCTCAGAATTCGTCATCAAATTAGTGCACCCCCTTATGGTAATTGGGTGTCTGCAACTGCAACTTTTCTGATGTTTTTAAAAAAAAATGATTATTTCAATTTTAGTAACTAAGAACTTTAGGGTTTTATGACTTATGAGTGCAAAAGCTAGAATTCCCTCGTTAGAAATGAGAAGAAACTGCACTTACAACACCTGGGGAAGAAAAATATCAAAAAAGTTCCAAAGCCGCCAGAAGCATCATACAACTTAGCTTCTATGAGAATTGATCGCTTTCGAGAACTCGATTGACCCGATGACACATTCACAAAAGAACTCCATCAATATAGAGAAAAAACAACAGTTGATCGCTTGTTTTCATAGGTCGAGTGAATGTAAGGGAATATACCTACCTCAACAGGACATATTGGCTTTGTATTATGACATAGAGGTTGACGCGAGAACCAATCGTATCCACAATCCATAGAAATGGCTAATCTCTTGGTATGCAGGTGGACCGAATTGAAGACAAGATGCACACAACAACACGAATTTGCTACACCGGTTCTAAAGTGATAAACTAACCACGTATAGAAATGGCTAATCTCTTGGTATGCAGGTGGACCGAATTGAAGACAAGATGCACACAAAAACACAAATTTGCTACACCGGCTTTAAAGTGATAAACTAACAACGTATAGAAAGCTTATATTGATATTAACTCGAGTTAAATGGTAGCATGGTCTTTATTAAATACTGAATTATTTTCTGTGGTGGAATCTTGTTCCAACACTAATAAGGCAATGACCAACCTGTCGAACAATCTTTTGGAGCACTTGACTATTATTTCCTTTTGTAATTATACAATTTCATTGAAGCATGATAAATGTGGCATCCGAATCACCACGATAACTTGTAAGTCACCATAAGAAAGGATAAACTTGGTTGTTTCTTTGTCTAAAGGGAGATAATTCTGGTGCAGCGCAGAGCTCCCCAACTCGTAAATCTTGGTATTTGTATCCCCCGTTCAAAGAAGCAAGTACTCTGCCAAGTAGTTTTAAGTGCGCCAGGAAATTTCATACACTAGTTACAACAATGTAACTATTACAGTTGATTCGTCTTGCTGGTTTTTACTCTTTCTTTCCTTCTCTTTTTGGTCGGACGTCTGGCGAGCTGTTTCTTCAGATCAAGAATTTGCTCCCGTACTTGTTGCTTTCTTGTACGCAGATCATTCAGCTGACTCTGCACTGAGCTATGCCCTTCCTCCAGACGTTTCAAACTTTCCCTAACACTCTTAATCTCAACCTGCAACCTCCGGCGATTTTCCTTTGATTCCTCTGCTTCCTTATGCTCTGCCTGAAATGATCCATATGAATTAAATATAACATATATCAAATTTTCGATCATTGCGCTAAGCTGTTTCAACTTCAGGGCTGTGTCTCACTTACCTCAATATATTCTTTGATAGTTTTTATGGAACCCAAAGAACTCCATATCTTTCCCCCCACAACACAGTTAGCAACAACTTTCTCCCTCTCCACTTCCAGCTGTTTCAGCTGCCGGGGAAGCTCTTGATCTCCAGCCCCGTCTTTGCCCGTAGCCATATCTGTGCTGAATCTGATCAGCATGTACTGTGCTCCTCTGATCTGAAAAACAAAACCGCATTAATTAGCTTTTCTTGCAGTATTACCACTATTTTACCTACACTCGCTAGTAAAGCAGAATTCGAAACAGACTTACTTTGGACTCAATAACTTCAAGTGGCGGCAACGAATCAGTAGTGTTGCTGTCCTTTTCCTCCTTTGATTTGATTTCGCTCAGGAGTCGTCTCTCTATCTGAAGGCTTTTCCTTCCATGCTTCATTTTGAAGTTCAATCTCTGTACCGTGACATTTTAGTATGTTGATACAAGCGGTAATTAATCAATCAGCAGATGTTCATGAAAAAACTGAAAACGAAAAAAAAAAAAAATACACATGTTCATTACCCGGTAATCGATTTCTTGCTCTTCTAAGAATGAATGCTTGATGGCATTGTCTCGGTATGCATTGTTTGCGAAGCTCAGCTTGTCCATGGCAAGATGGAGAGGGTCCAGTCTTTCCTTTCTGCAGGCAGCAGTGCATCTCATTGATTCAATGTGACGTTCCAGATTGGAGAGGGACCATGTTTTCGAGGCTTATTCAAGCTGGTGAAACATTGGAAACGAGTTTGATTAGTACTGCAATGACAACAATCAGAAAAGAGACTTTTTTTGAAAATTGTTTGTTCCATACCTTCTGCTTTTCTAGTTTCATAAGAACCTCTGGATATTCTCTGTTTATCAGCTCCCTTTGTTCCTCTGCTTCTTGTAAACTGCAGCTTAACAGATCTGGGCCTCGGGGTGATTCTGCAGCAACCTCCATAACCACAGTGGAAACAGTATCTGGTCTGTATGACATGATATGGGCTTGAGGATATGGCAATGGGAGTCTTGGTGGCTCCTTTAAAATGCAGCAAATTAGATGGAGTAGGGGAAGTCCAAATAAAAAAGCAAGAGAAGTAGGTTGACAACGACAAGCCCCTAAAGTCTTTGACAGCCTCCCTTGCCTTCCACTCCAAGGCAGTGCCTCACGGAGGTGGTCAACGAACTAGCTGGTCTACTTCCATTTCCATAAACTATGTGCAAGCGACAATTTTGAAACAAGTTTCAAGCAGCTCTAAGCATGGTGGGAAGTACAATTACATTCCACGAGAGGAATAATAATATACTAGCAAAAGCTCGTTCACTTTCGCTTCGCGTATCACAAATAAAAATATTTTAAAGAGTAATAGTTTTAATGTTGACCCAAAAGTGAAAGTAATCTTATTTCATTCTTAATCATTTTTTTAATAGGTTTGTTATTTATAATAGCATATGGTCGATGAACTTGCATAAGGTAGAAGGGTCGTCAAATAGATTATTTATGTTTAACTGCTTTCATGACGGTAAAGTTTCAATTTGTATGACTTGCTTTTTTTGGGCTTGAGGTAATCGTGATTCTCTTTTATGAAAATTTTGGGCTGCTTGCGGGTTTGAGGTGGTTCAACTCGCATTGATCGGGTCAAATTAGGTTGGATACCCATGAATTTGGGTTCAATTGTCTTTCTCAAACAAAGGAAAAAGCAAAATGAAAAACACTAAAGCTAAAACTCGCTACTGACTCAAAACTCGTCAACACCAGGTTCAACTCGCTTTGCCCTGGTTGGACCTTGTTTTGGACGGATTCACACCTTGCACAACACGCTAATTACAAAAACAAATAAAACACGCTCCCACCGAAAACCTGTAAAATCGGGTTCAAGTCGCTTTGGTCGGGTCGAATTAGGTTGTATACCCATGCGTTTGGATTCAATTGTCATTCTCAACCAAATGGGAAAAGATAAAAAAAATACAAAAGCGGATAAAACTCGCTCATAACCACAAACTCTCAACACTGTGTTCAACTCGCTTTAGTCGGGTCGACCCAGTTTTAACAAATTCACAATTTGCCCAACATGTTAATTACAAAAGCAGATAAAACTCGTTCTCGATACGAAACACGTCAGCGATGGGTCAAAGTTCAATTGTCATTCTCAACGAAAAGGAAAATGAGAAATAAAACGATCAGTCAGAGTTCAATTGTCATTCTCAACGAAAAGAAAGATGAGAAATAAATAAACTTAAAGCGTACAAAACTTGTTTTCGATCTAAAACTGGTCAACAACGGGCTCAACTTGCTTTGAAGTATTTTTTAACAAATTAACACTTGGTCCAGCCTGCCAACTACGAAAGCGGATAAAGCTCGCTTACAATACACCACTCGTCAAAATCTTAGATTCGGGTTCAACTGTCTTCCCAACCAAAAGAAGAAGAAAAATGAAATTTATAAATGCTAAAGTATGTTTCAAGTCGCTTTGACTGGATCGAATTAGGTTGTATTGACTCACTCCTACTGTCTCTCTAGAAAATGGCCAAGTGTAACCACTTCCGAAAGCGTAGTATAGCGGGTTTGGGTTTTAATGTCAACCCGGGTCCTAGATGTGATGACTACTCAGCGAATTCTTATTATTTAGCTGTGAAACTTTCGTGCAGGTTCAAACAAGCAAACAAACAAAGCAAGCAAGAAAGTTGTTTTCAAGTCTAGAGAGGTCACCCGGATATGGTTCCCCCTAGACTGCAGTTAAGCCGGATTGTAATTTACCAAGTTCAATTTTAATGATAGTTATACTGCGGGAGGTTCTTAAACACTCTGAAGTCTCCACCGGAGTAAACAGATTGAGGCCCTAATGAACAAAACGTCCACTACCGAAGTAACTTCGGTACAGAATAGTGAATTGGCTCCTCGACTAAAGTCGCCAATTCACCACCTTCAATCAAGGGTGCCCTATCAACCTAGGTAGATATTCTCTTTCTAGGTCAAAGCAGAAATAACAGGAATTTGATCAGGATTCATGGCATTCAATAATTCAAACCTCAATTGAATATAATCAAATCATAGAATCTGTACTTGGGTTCATACAATCAGACCTAACATACAAATCTAGGGTTCTCCATACCCAGATGAATGAAGAAATTACTCCATGGAGAGAGAAGCAAAAGCAAGCTCAGATGCAGAAATCATGCTGTGAAGGATGGGTTTCTGCTCCTGGTCGTCAATCGGCACTTCTCCAATTGTGAGCCGAGCTCCAATGGTGATGAAGATCAAGCTAGGGCACTTGGGAACTCTGGTTCGTCGCTTTCTCTCTCTAGGAATCGCTCTGTCTCTCTAAAACTCGGAACCCTTTCTCCTTTGGCTCAAATCTGCCTAAAAAGGGTGACCCTGGGCAAGACACGGTTGAGGGCACGGCCGTGGTTTGCTTTTGCCCGCCCGTGCCCTTGCCACGTGTTAAAAACATGCCCACATCTTGGGGTAAACACGGTCGTGCCATTAGTTGGACACGGCCGTGTTTTCTATCACTCACGCCCGTGTTTTGGGCAGGCACAGGAGCATCTCGGATCAAGCCTTGGCAGTAAAAACACGGTCCAGGAACACGGCCGTGTTTTGGTTTAGTCCAGCCCGTGCTTTGGTCCTAGCTCGACCGAATGACTTCCGAATGCCCCGAAACTCGTGCTTAGCCTCTCCTTCGACGTCTGGGACCTGAAATATGACAAAGTAGCACAACCCGGCATAAAATAGGCCAAAAATGCACGACTACGCCCCGCAAACGGATATGAACTAGGGGTGCAAACATGTGCAATTACATCGTTATCAAATTCCCCCACACTTAACCGTTTGCTTGTCCCCAAGCAAACCAAGTCAGACACAAGGTAAGCTCAGAACATTTTAATCAAGCAGGCTTTAGGGCATGTCATATCGGCACAAAACACGTGAATCATACTGGCTTTTGATCATTAACAAATGGACAACCTCAACGACAACCTAGAAAACCACCACAGATGACATTCGAATGCAGCAAAGTCGAGCAAAGGAAGAGTCGCCCTTCTGTTCACCAATCAAGATAGACTTGACTCAACCACTTATTCAAGACAGTCACTTCATGCATAAAGCTCAAGATATCATAATTAAGACCGAGCAATCTAGGTCCTCACCGGGGTAAAGAGTATAGATAATATGAGAAAATGAATCGCTCACTCTCGACCAGTGGGGTCAGGACAATTTGATGCGAAAAATGCGCATGCTTATTCTCTCAATCCCTAACATCTCTTAACCTTGAAGGAAACCTCTAAATGCTAGAGTTCACATATGGGGTGTCACCACTAACTAATCCTAAGGTCTTAGACACAGGTGCAGATGACTGGCTAGGGTCTTGGACATGGGGAAAAGGCCTTTTAGGTGGTGGAAGTATTCATAGCACAAGGTTCCACAATTCCAAACCCAACACACTCACAGTTAATCAAACCACTCTTTCTTTCTGCCATTCTGCATTACTCACGTTCTTTAGAGCACAAGAGCGAAGGAGGTCACATAAATCTTAGTGTTTCCTAGCCACACTGCTAAGAAACACTACTCAATGGGCGCTATTCAGATTTTGTGATGGTGGCTCTCTTTTGCTTTCATTCATTTTTTTCTTTTCTTTTTTTTTTTTCCATTTCTTGAGAGAACCACCACCTATGCATATTTTGCAAACACATGCCCTTGTTATTTTTTTAAGAACTACCTCCAACTCTCACATTATATTTAGCAGAAACAGCAGAGAACATGGATAAACCACTCTGTGGAACCTTCTAAAAGATATAAAGGGGTGATTTTCCATTGTAGACCGAAAGAAAGGATAACACACGGCTCAAAGGGCTGACTAGGGGGTATGACACATCAGGACAGTCAATTTGGTCGTGGGCTAATCCTATGCCTCCATCATCTTAGCTAATGACAACGTGAATGATGCACATCATGGAAGAGGGAACTATCGCACAAGAAAGACACGAGCAAGCTCAAATCTCACATGGCTACCTATATGCTCTATCTCTCATTCTGATTCCCTAAACTAGATGCATAAATGACTGTCAAGAGCAAGTGATCAATCCAAGTTACAGTTGGTAAGCAAACAGTTGAAAAACTGAACCCCTACACAGTTCTACTGCACATCTCAGTCATCATAATAAGTTGTCTTAGTCACACTCCACTTGTCATGCATTAATTCAAAAGCCATTCAATTCACCAATCAAATCCACAGTGCCAGTATGATCAAACATCAAGCAAACAGCAGTACTTGGAGCCCTCAAATCTCGAGATTTGGACAGCGGACTAGGCTCCAAGAACACATATATACGTTCCAATGAATACAAAGAACCACCCCCCCCCCCACACACACACACTTAAATGCGATAGTTTCCTCAATGGAGCAGAGGGAAGGGGAATGATGTTACCGTGAAATGAGATCAGGAATGGGGACTGGAAGGCAGACCAGGCAATAGCAGGGCACTAGAAGGGGGACCAGTCCAAGGCACAGAGCTAAAGTCAACAAAAGACACACACACTGGGTGAAAGAACCGGAGTTCCAAGTCTACAATCCAAAAAAAAAAACAAAAAGAAACAACAAAAACAGGGAGTCTCAGTCTGGAAAAGAAACGAAGTGCAGAACCAGCCACTCGCCACTAGAACGCATCACCACCATCACCGGTGGGTGGAGGGTACTCGTCCTCATACCCCGGTGACTGCACGAAGGGGTAGTGGACTGAGTTTGGGTCCAGGCCCAGGTACGACATGATATAGTGCTGGCCGGACATAAGACGACGGCCGCGATCCCGCTCACGATCGAGGCGGGTGTGAATGCTCTCATGGCCGGCCAGAATGCGCTCGTTCTGCTGAGCGATGGCCGCCAAATGGTCAGAAATAGAGACCACGGGGGCGGGAGACCCGGGAGCAGGAGACCTCGGAGCAGCGGAGGGGCTCGCAGGGGTCTGGGCACGACGAACAGTACGGCGGGGAACCTGGCATCCCCCAGCTGCGCTCGATTCTAGTTGGTCGCCCTCCGCAGGTTCAGGCGGCCGAGGGAGACCCACAATCTAGTGCAAACGCCCTTGTAGAGCAAGCATGTGCTGATGGCGGAGGCCTTGGTGAAAGTTCGGGCGAGCACAGAGCCCAGCTCGATGGTGTCCTCAGAGCGACCCATCGGGTACATGAAGAACAAGGTCCGGAGGGTGACCCAGTTGGACGAGCCTCGCCTGGGTGTGTAGGACTGGGTGAGCAAATGGTTGAGGATCCGCCACTCCGGACGGAGGAGAGTGGCCCGCGTCTGACTGGGGACGTATCGCTCATCCACATAGGTCGGCAGGCAGATGCGTTGGAAGTAGGTCTGGTTAGCAAAGTCGGTGGGATCGGTCACCTCCACAATCATGGGCCGGTCGCTGGGGTGCGGGGAGTTGAGCCGAAGTGCAGTGACCAACTCCCAGTAATTGATGGAGTGCTCCTCCCCGCCGAGCGTGAAATGAACCGCATTAGAATGGTCGGCTGACCCCCTCTGGGAGTGGCAGAAGGATGCGTAGAACTCCCAGACGAGCTCCTGGTAGGTCGGTTCGGCGAGGCAGAGAAGGCGCCGCCAACCATAGGCACGAACAGCTGCCTCCATCTGCGGCCTGGCATGAAGGGCCTCGAACATCTTAAAGTCGAGATGCAGGTGCTCGGCGATATGGCAGGTACGGATTGTCCGCAGCAGATGGCGTTGTGTGATGCTCAACTGGTCGAGGTAGGCTTCCATGATCCTGCAAAGCACAAGGATACACAAATGGCACACAAGCGAACAGGGTCAATGTTAGCCAAAAATCACACTGGTAGCCCTCATATCGAAAGATATGGACAGTGGACTAGGCTCCCGGTGAAACAAGCATACCAATCACACGAGAATCACACAAACAAACACACCGGGGACCCCCAAATCTCGATTTAGGCAGTGGACTAGGCCCCCGATGGAACAAACACAAAATCCATACCAAATATTCACTAATCGATCTATCCCACATAAGCCACACAAGCACGCATACAATGCCAACATGCAAATGGTAGGCCGAAGAACTGAATTCCCGGGACAAAAATATAACAAGCAAAGAGCGCCATCGTACTACCAAATCATTCTCAAATCATGCCACAATCTCAAATTCTTCACCGAACTCTAGGTATCGATTCACCAAAAATAAAATGGGAGGCTATGAGAACACACCTAGAGACGCAAGTAGATACCGCAAGGGAGGTGAAGAAAAGGGAAGAAAACACCCCAAAGTTGTCGGAAGACCCACCAGAGACTCGCCGGAGAACTCGCCGCCGGTGATACAACCTCGGCCAAACAAGCCCAAACCTCTGGGGATCGTGCTCCTCGATGCCAGGAGCGTGGGGCTGGTTGCGGTTTGTGATTTAGAGGTCGGGAGAGGGAGTTATGGCCGAAAAACCGAAGGAGAAGAGGAGAAAACCGAAAATCCGGTGAGGGGGCGGTGGAAAATTTGAAAAAATGATTCTGGGGGGAGAGATGGGCCAAAAATTGATTTTTATAGGGGGGATTAAAACACGGGTGGGCTGAAACACGGCCTTGTTTTCCATGCTCCGAGCCCGTGTCTTTATGGCCGAGGGCGTGCTCTCCGCCTTTGAAAAAACGGGCGGGCTGGGTTCAAAACACGGCCGTGTTTTTGAACCCCAGTGCCCGTGTTTTTAATGCCGAGAGCACTTCTGCCCAAAGATGAAAACACGGGCGGGCAGGGAAGAAAACACGGCCGTGTTTTGCTCCCCTGACGCCCGTGTTTTTACTGCCGAGCCCACCTCTGCATTTTTTCAAAATCCCAATTTCAATCCAACAAAACTCATCCGTGCCCCTGCTCTAAAAATTACCCAGTCACATATTAAAACAAACCGCCCGAGGCACAAAATACTTTCCAGACAGACTCAAAGACTCAAAAACCGACAAAAATGAAAAGGAAAAAGGATAGAAATTGAAACCGTGGTGGGGTTGCCTCCCCACAAGCGCTTCTTTACCGTCTTTTAGCTGGACACCCATGGCAGACTAAGGGTCCGCAAATTCCAATACCAACTCCGCACGTTCGACCTCGCCTCCCAAGTAGAGCTTGAGACGATGGCCATTGACTTTAAATGGTTCAGTCTGCGGGTTGGCAATCTCAATCATGCCATACGGGAACACTTGTGTGACCGCGAACGGTCCAGACCACCGGGAACAGAGTTTTCCGGGAAAGAGCTTCAGGCGAGAGTTATAAAGGAGAACTCGATCACCAACCTGGAATTCTTTCGGACCCCGCAACCGTGCATCGTGCAGGCGCTTAGTGCGCTCCTTATACAGCTTGGTGTTCTCATAGGCGTGATAACGCCACTCCTCTAGCTCCAGCATATGCATTTTGCGCTCAACACCTGCAACACTAACATCCAAGTTGAGCAGCTTAACGGCCCAAAAGGCATTGTGCTCTAGCTCCACGGGCAAATGGCATGCCTTTCCATAGACAAGCCGCTACGGTGAGTGACTCGACTCTACTGTCACTCCAGGAATTGGCCAAGTGAAACCACTTTCCTAAAACGTAGTATAGCGGGTTTGGGTTTAATTATCAACCCGGGTCCTAGATTTGATGACTACTCAGTGAATTCTTGTTATCTAGCAATGAAACTGGAATGCAAGTCTAACTAACAAACTAACAAAGCAGGTAAACGGTTGTATTCAAGTTAAGAGAGGTCACCCGGATATGGTTCCCCCTAGACTGCAGTTAAGCCGGATTGTAATTACCAAGTTCATTTTCTATGATAGTTATACTGCGGAAGGTTCTTAAACAGCCTGAAGTCTCGACTAAAGGTCTTTAGACCCTCTCAATCTGAATCTCTAGCGGGCGACTAACCTCCACCGGAGTAGACAGATTGAGGCCCTAAGAACAAAACCTCCACTACCGGAGTAAATCCGGTACAGAATAGTGAGTTGGCTCCTCGACTAAAGTCACCAACTCCCTACCTTCAATCAAGGATACTCTATTAACCTAGGCAGATATTCTCATTCTAGGTCAAAGCAGAAACAACAGGAATTTGATCAGGATTCAAGTCATTCAATCATTAAAACCTCAATCGAATATAATCAATCATAGAATCAGTACTTGGGTTCATACAATCAAAGCCTAACATACAATCTAGGGTTCTCCATACCCAGATGAATGGGAGAACTACTCCGTGGAGAAGAAAGCAAAAGTAGAATCAGACACGGAATTCATACTGCGAAGAATGGATTCCTGCTTCTGGACGTTGATTGGCACTTCTCCAAGCTCAAGCTGGCCTCCAATGGTGTTGAAGATCAATCTAGGGCACTTGGGAACTCTTGCTCGTCACTTTCTCTCTCTAGAAGTCGTTCTATCTCTCAAAAACTCGAATCCCCCTGAATTGTGGCTGAAACTCTGCTTAAAAGCATCAGTGGCCAAAGCACGGTCGAGGGCACGGCCGTGCTTTGCCTGACTCCGCCCGTGCCTCGGCCAGGGCTTAATTACACGGCCAGCAAGTGGGTTAAACACGGCCGTGCTTCGCAATGTACACGGCCGTGCTTTGGTGGAACACGGCCGTGCTTCGGTGCCCGTGTTTGCAGCTGAATTGGCCAAACTGAATTTGCTCTCGGCATAAAAAGCACGGCCAGCAGTACACGGCCGTGTAATGCCTTGGGTCTGCCCGTGTTTTGGCTCCAGCTCACCGAAATGACTTCCGAATGCCCCGAAACTTGCGGTTAGCCTTCCCTTTAACGCCTGGGACCTGAAACATGACAAAATAGCACAACCCGGCGTAAAATAGGCCAAAACACACGACTATGCCCCTCAAACGGATAAGAACTAGGGGCGCAAATATGTGCAATTGCATCGTTATCAAACTCCCCCACACTTAACCGTTTGTTTGTCCCCAAGCAAACCTAACTCAAACCAATGCAACTCTCCAGACCTCTATAGCAACAAACAACCCAGATCTTAGGTAGAGGACTTCCTAGATCATTTAGCAACTTACGAGGTCAACCGACGCACAAGTCATCTCATAGCTTCTTCGGCACGAGCACTAGTATCGAGTTGGCATCATGGCAAATAGTGAACAGAGGACAAATGAATTGTGGATGGAGAGATCCTCAAAAACAAAAGACCATGGACTCACATTTTTCAAGGTGCTCTATTTTCTGCTTAAAGATGGTCGGAACCCCCTTTTTTTCCTGTTTTGCTTGTTTTCTGATATTTTTCTTTTCTTTTCTTTTTCAAGGGTCCCAACCTGCTCTTACCGGCCATGCCAGGAGCGGATGTCTCGAGCCTCGTGCGGGGGAAAGACATGTAAGGGGGCTGGAGGTAGTAGGTGGAAATTGGGAACGAATTCCCGTCTCCCCTTACACACTTTCGCCCTATTCGCACGGGAGACGTTATTTTGAAGCACATTTTCGAGCACCTGTTATTTTCAAAACATGACACAAGAGTCCATGACAGGTAGAAAATCCACAACATCACACAATTCAAGGGTCCTAAGATCACTAATTCACTCAATCATCCAACACAATATGAAGAAGAAATGAGATTTCTTAAATGCATCAACATCCTCCATAGTGCTACACTACCTCCCTAGGTTGCATATTACTATAAAGACTGTCAATTCAAAGCATACTGAGCAGGCAATTGCATGAAAACACGTACTTGGAGCCCTCAAATTTAAAAATTTGGACAGTGGACTAGGCTCCAAGCACACAAACAGATCTAATGCAGTCAAAAGATAAACACCCCCCCCCCCCCCCCACACTTAAGCTCGACATTGCCCTCAATGGAGAAGAGGGAAGGGAAAGGGGAACGATGTTACCGGTATGCACGGACTGCAGGGGACTGGAAACGGCCAGTCGGGGCAAGCACAGCCAAAGGGGAACAGAAGAGCTCAAACACAATATGTTAGGTTCAATGGTCAGCCCAATAAAATATCATCCAAACCAAAAGAAAACAAACCAAACCCACACCGGGTTACAATCCGACTCAAAACACAAGAAAGAAAATCAAACCGTGGTGGGGTTGCCTACCCACAAGCGCTTCTTTACCGTCGTATTAGCTGGACGCCCATGGTGGATACTCAGGGCGGTGCAGGAACAGGTGCCTCCAAGAGCGGATCCACGTCGCTCTTGAGGTACAGCTTGAGGTTGTGGCCGTGCACCCGACGGATGCGACCACCATCATCGGTCAGCTCGACCTGCCCATCTGGCAAGATGCAGGCGAGTGAGTACCCGGACGGCCAGGGTGGTCGTGGTGCAGGAGGTGGGACCAGCTCATAGTGGTCTCCACTCTTCTTACGTGCAGGCTTAGCAACCAGCGGCTTCGGCCGCCACTCCTCCTTGAGCTTTTTGTTCGTAGGCGAGGCTGGATGGAGTGGCGGCGAAGGAATGATAGGAGGGTCCTGCAAAATAGGAGGTGCAGAAGGGTACACGACAGACTCGTGTACCTGATCAGACATAGCATGCACAGGCGTGACAGCAATCATAGCACAGTGATCAAACTCAGTCACAGAAAAAGTAGCTTGTTCATCCCCGGCACGCAAGATCAACTTACCATCATGCACATCAATTAGTGCCTTGGCGGTGGCAAGAAATGGCCTACCTAGAATCAAGGGCACATCCACATCCTCATGTATATCAAGAATAACAAAATCAACAGGATATGTGAATGCACCAACACCAACAAGCAGATCCTCTATGATTCCCCTAGGATGCACAATAGAACGATCAGCTAATTGAATGCTCATCCTAGTAGGGCTAAGTTCACCTAGGTCTAGCATTTTATACAACTTATATGGCATGACGTTAATGCTAGCGCCTAGGTCCGCCAAGGACTTTCCTACATGCATGCTGCCAATAGTAAGAGGGATAGTAAAACTCCCTGGATCCTTGCGCTTCTCGGGCAGCTTGTTCTGCAGGATAGCAGAACACTCCTCGCTCAGCATCACTGTCGAGAGATCCCCAAGTTTCTTCTTGTTGGTGCAGATATCTTTCATGAACTTGGCATATTTGGGCATCTTTGACAGTGCCTCCATGAACGGTATGCTGATATTGAGCTGCTTCAACATTGCCATGAACTTGGCAAACTCAGTCTCCAGCTTGTCCTTGTGTAGGCGAGTGGGGAAGGGAAGCTGGGGTACATGCTCCTTAACCACTGGTTGTGGCTTGGGAGCAGGGGCTTCTTTCTCCACCCGCACTTCTGCATCGTCGGCTGGAAGTGCTGAAGCAGGCAGTGGTTCCTCCTGTCTGGCCGGGACAGGATCAGCAGATATGGTCTTACCGCTCCTGGTAAAAATGGCATCCAGCTGCTGATGCTGGTGAGGATCTCGAGGATTCGGAACAGTGGTGGCAGGCAGAGTCCCCGGTGCCCTGGTAGTGTTTGGCGGGCCAAGATGCCCACCTGGGTCTGCAGATCCTGCAAAATGGCAACCTGGTTCCTCTGACCTGCCTCCAGTGAGGCTACACTCTGATCCAACCTCGTGATAGTCGCCTGAGTGCTCGTCATGAATGAAGCTAGAATGTTTTCCAGCTTCGTCATCCTGTCATCTGGGGCTGGAGCTGCTGCTGGCTCGGCAAACTGGCGCTGGGGCTGCTGGAATGGCTGCTGTGGAACTGGCCCCTGTCGGGCCTGGTAGGGCTGCCTCTGCTGAAAACCACCTGCTGGTGCTGGGAAACCAGGTGGTTTAGTGGTGTTGCTGCTCCAGGCAAAGTTGGGATGCTGGCGCCACCCCTCATTATATGTGTTACTGTATGGATCGAGGCGCCTCGCATTGGCGATGAAGGCCAGCTGCTCCTGGGGTGTGGTAGGCTCCCTCATAGCCTGGCAGTCCTCCACTAGGTGACTGGAGCTCTCACACCACTGACACTGAGCAACTGGAGGTGTAGCCAAACCTCTGCCCGGAATCAGACTGTTGGGCTGCTTCAATGTCTGCACTAGCTCAGCTACCTGCTGCTCGAGCCCGGATCTGGTCTCCATGGCGTGCACACCACGGTCCCGGGACTGTCTGCCTCGGCTACCCTGTCCCCAAGAATGATCTCTGGCAGCCAATGTATTAATCATCTGATTCAGCTCGGGTGGAGTCTTGGTGAGAATATCCCCTCCTGGGCATAAAGACTCAATCACCCTCTGGCTATCTGGGGAGAGAGCGCTGTAGAACTTCCCCACAGTAAAAGCATCACTAAATCCATGGTGGGGGCACTGCCAGAAGTAGCCCATGTACCGCTCCCAAGCATCACGGAGTGACTCATCTGGCTCCTGGCGGAAGTGAGTGATCTCCCGCTGAATCTCTGTAGTCTTCGATGCCGGATAGTACCTGTGCACGAACTTGTCCGCCAGATCGTCCCAAGAGGTGATGGACAATGGGGACTGTGTCTCCAACCACCTCTTAGCATTCCCCGCCAGAGAATGGGGGAAGAGGTGAAGGCGGATCGCATCATCGGGAACACCGTTCAGCTTGAACCCGTTTGTCAGCTGCAGAAAACGGGACAGATGTACCCTGGCCTCCTCATCCTTCAAGCCATGAAACTGGATAGAGGATGTGATGAGCTGAATCCAGCATGGCTTGATCTCGAAATTGTTTGCTGGGATAGGCGGGTAGAGGATGACCGGACGGATGTCAGCAATCCGCGGAGTGTAGTAGTACTCCAAGGTGGGACCCGGCTGTGGTGGATGATGAACTCCATGATCCTGGGGTATGGGGTTGTTCCCCAGGACCTGATTCACCGGGGGAACCTGCTGAGGATTCCCCTGGTGCTGATTGTAGTCTCCGTCCATTCCGTGCTCTTCTTCAGAATCGCTACTCAGGTGGCCGTCTATGCGCTCTTCCGTAGCCAGTCTAGCTCGCTGTTGTCTCCTGAGATGGCGACAGGTGCGGTCAATCTCTGGATTCAACGGCAGTAAACCTCTAGACTGGCTACGGGTCATGCACTACCTGCACACACTCAAGCAAGCAAACCCGTGAAGGCACAAGTGGGAAAAAAGCAAGCAAAGCAAAAAGAAAAAGGCTAAATTAACAGAAATCACTTTTCTTCAACAACCTAGCCGTCCCCGGCAACGGCGCCAAAAACTTGACTCGACTCTACTGTCACTCCAGGAATTGGCCAAGTGAAACCACTTCCTAAAGTGTAGTATAGCGGGTTTGGGTTTAATTATCAACCCGGGTCCTAGATTTGATGACTACTCAGTGAATTCTTGTTATCTAGCAATGAAACTGGAATGCAAGTCTAACTAACAAACTAACAAAGCAGGTAAACGGTTGTATTCAAGTTAAGAGAGGTCACCCGGATATGGTTCCCCCTAGACTGCAGTTAAGCCGGATTGTAATTACCAAGTTCATTTTCTATGATAGTTATACTGCGGAAGGTTCTTAAACAGCCTGAAGTCTCGACTAAAGGTCTTTAGACCCTCTCAATCTGAATCTCTAGCGGGCGACTAACCTCCACCGGAGTAGACAGATTGAGGCCCTAAGAACAAAACCTCCACTACCGGAGTAAATCCGGTACAGAATAGTGAGTTGGCTCCTCGACTAAAGTCACCAACTCCCTACCTTCAATCAAGGATACTCTATTAACCTAGGCAGATATTCTCGTTCTAGGTCAAAGCAGAAACAACAGGAATTTGATCAGGATTCAAGTCATTCAATCATTAAAACCTCAATCGAATATAATCAATCATAGAATCAGTAATTGGGTTCATACAATCAAAGCC